TAACGAGCCTAAAACGCAGACCCCTCGTTCCGCGCACCATCCACGTGAGGTAATTTTTGTCAACAGAAGGGTCCATGGCATACAGCCTTTGTATGACTTGATCGCTTGGGAACAAAGTCCACTAGCAAATGCACGTGCCGAATGAGTCTTTCTGCACTTATGGCCAAAGGAGTGTACCTTGAAAAGCTTGTGCTCTCAACTGTGTGGAAGATGAAGCGGAACGAAGAAGTTACATGATGGTCCGCGCACTGTCCGTGTGACGTAATTATCACCATCAGGAGAATCCACGGATGTCCGTGCACACCGTCCGTCTGCAGCCCAATTTTTGTGACCGCGCGGAGTACAACAGCGCATGTGCGAGTGACATGAATAAGGAATTTATTTATATAGCATGTTTCCTATGTACTACCATACACCGCAAGCGCTTTACAATCATCTCAGGGGTCTCTCTTCAACCACCACCAGTGTGCAGCATCCACTTGGATGATGCGATGGCAGCCACAGAACAACGGCACCAGTGCGCTCAACACACATCAGCTATAGGAGAGAGCGCACTTGAAAACTAAAGCACCTTAAAAACAAAATCCACTAGATTTAGTGCACGTGCCGAAAGCATCTTTCCACCCACGCGGCCAAAGGAGTATACTTTGAAAGGCTTGCACTCTCGACTGTATAGTATACCCAGGCCTTTAAGGATTCGGAAGGCAAGCAGGGGAGTGTTCAAAACAGCCGATGACAAGCCGAAACAGCCATTCATTAAACTTCCAGCGTGGAATGGGAGTGACTTTCCTCAGGAAAACTACTCCAAAAAATGTATGTATGTGACGCTCTTACAGCGCTGTCGACCACTCTCCTCTTAAAGAGTTTCTAGTCTGTGTTTTGACGCATTTGTCATCAACTACACATGACATAACCCTACCCAGGGTAATTCCTTCTGTCAACAGATTCAGGCTTCCCAGGGGATCAGGGCCTGAACGCACAATGGCGCTATCGACATTAGCATAATTGTCGTGTGGCATACAGCAAGCTACCGAGCGCCAAGTGCCGGAACCCACGCACAAAGAGGAGAATCCAGCCGTGCACCCGCTATTGAGGCCATGAGCCCCTGCAGTCTCAATACTGTTTAAAAAAAAGCACTCATCTCCCCAGCCAAAACTGAGACAGACAGCCGCGAAAATCTTCTGCCCTCTGTTCGGCTCTGAATCTATCTCCATACCGAGATATAACAGCCCCTTTTGAGATTAATCTGGAATCCCAGAGCTCGTAAATGTAAAACAAGTGCATGTGTTTGTAACACTGCTTGTTCCCTGCTGCCAGGAGCAGCCCGCCCAAATAGGTCTGCGCTCTGATAGCACAGCAGAACCAGCAGTTCCTGCAGATCTTGCAAATATGTGCGGTACTATAGGGACCTAAAAATAGTAGGCAATCCCCTCGACGAAGACCTCAGAAAAATGTTCTGTGCCCCGGATGGATTGCCCTGCTCAAAAAATATGTCGTCAGAGCATTCCTCGCCCGCATCCAGTGAGAAAGAATCATCCCCTCGACAGTCAAAGTTTCGCTTAGACTTAGGGCAGCTAGAGAAACCATGTCGTGAACACTACACTGACACTCCTCGGCCGCCACACCATCGTCCCAACTCTCTGTGGCCCAACCAAAAACCGCAGTGGACCGTGTTTGCCCTGCCAAGCACTCGCTACATACCGCTTGAGTGCAGAATGATACAGCACACAGGCAATGCTCACATGCATTGGGGTTGGAGAGATCCAGCCAAGCGCAGGCAATTCAAAACACACTGGACAGTGCTTGTGAGTATACCATAAACACCCACATGCCAACCGGACAGGGACTAGACCTTATGTACAGATATTTCTCATCAAAAAATGTTATTAGCCATTTGTTAGTTGTACTAAACCCATGCTTAAAACCTTTAAAAAAGAAAATGCTTAAAACAAGAATCACCAATGTGGGCTTTTCTTCTTGCGAAAATGTGGCGTGATGGTGTGCTAACAGCACGGTGAAGAGCTGGAGAACAAAGGGAATGACGCATGCGACTGCATTTATATGCTGTGGGTAGGTGGCGACCCCGCCCATATCGTCATTAAACTGTGTTGTACCGAGTGAACTAACTGAATGGGAACACAGTCGCTTATGGCTCTCGCTAACTTAAATGAGAAAGAAAACTGATGCGTGTCATTATATTGGATCCGTGCATTCGGTCTTAAAGTGACAGCAGCCTAAATTTTCCTGCTGCTGTCTCTGTCATTCATGTTAATCAAACAACAAAAAACAAAAAGAAAATCTAAATATTTTCTAGCTTTAACAAAGATTAATTATAACTTAATACCGTGAAGACTATGCAGTGTTACTTTACATTTGATTATTCAATTTCTATACCTTAATATTGTTAGACTTACCTGAAAAACAAAGCACGGTTTATTTCATGTGTATCATTGTTTTATTGTATTTATCTAGGCTATTCTTTATGTAATTTGTTTATTACTTTCAATGTTGCACACCTACAAAAATCACCCCAATCATTCTAGAATGATTCATTTATTCCAAATAAAGCTATTCAAGTCATGGAGTGAATCGTTTTCTTATCGCAATATATAATCGCAGAAAAACGTAATTTTTTTCCCAATATCGTGCAGCCCCATCTTTCACATACTGATATTTGATAGCGAATGACAATTTTCAGTGAATAATCATTTAACGAAGTAAATAAACTGCCCATCACACAATTTCATTCCTTTACATAAATGACATCAAGTAAACATTAGTTTAAGATACTTTATACATACATTTATTTGTTGAGTGCGCACACAAAAACATTTTAATAACACATTTTCCCTTGTCAGTGACTGTGTACAATACCTATATAACTTAAAAATGTGAGTAAACTCAGTGATTCTTGTCAGTATTGTTTCAAGAGTTTGAAAAAAGGTGAGAACTTCCACAAGTTGGCACAAGGAATGTGTATATTACAAAGAGTGACAGTTCTCTTCTAAAATACAGTCCAAACACTGCTGGCCTAAACAACGGTAACAATATATAAAGTGACACAGAGTTAGAAGTGAGAAATGTACAGAAATAAATAACAGGTTTAACAGTCACAATAATGATTGGCAATATTAACATACATTTTACATATTGGCAGTGCTTGTGAAAAATACAATAATTTACATTGAAATTTGGTTTAAAAAGGTGAGACTTTTTGCGCAGGCAACAAACGAAGGGACAAATCTAGTGTTACTGTCCTTTTCCTGTTTGTTTTTGCATTTTGAGTCATTTCTGGAAAAACAAAGCACAACATAGTACAAAATTCCTCAAATGAACAACTGAAGAAAATAAATCAGTCAAGCAAAACAAAGAAACAGAGTAACACGACTTCACAGAAAAAAGACACCCATATTTACTTAAAAGAAAAAAAAAACGAGTTAAAATCATTTAAATAGAAAATATCAGAGCAAATAAAATAAGGCCGCTTTGAAACGAAAAAGAAACCTCACTATTATCTTTAATTGATCAGTGATCGTATTTGAGCTTGATCAGATATTTGTTAACTTTCCTATTTTCTCTCCCCAGTTGATGCTGATTTTTCAGCGCTCTCATCCCACTATATAAATGGTATTGAAAAGTATTACACGACACCCCATAAAGCATTCACATGTTTTAGCTTCAATACTGTCCGATGATGCTGCATTGTCTTTCGTTGGACATAAACAAAAAGCAGGTGTAAATGTGACCTCGAGATTATTGCTGCCACCTACTGGTCATGGATGATGGCTGAAGTACCGCTCACTTTGAAACGAATGGTGACCGTAAGAGGCAGAAGATTTGTGGGTTGAGGTGCAAACAGGTCATCCATCATCTGAGAGGCCGCAAAGCCTGTAACAAAGGCACACTTTCGGCTGACGGATGCGTCACGTGCGAGCAGACTTGGAAATGATGTGAAATGTACTTGATATCTCTCTACAAACTTGTCGGTTTTGATTACTTATTCTGATTCATGCAACGAATCACTCCACAACACCAAGTGAATGAGATCTGGCCCCTTGGGAACTAACACTGTGTCTCAGGAGCCACAACATTCATAACAATCATAATCATTACATTTCAAACTGACACATTCACAGCATCAACAAAATAAGGCAATAAACACAATGCAAAAGGGGTAACAGAGAAAAAGTGCATGAATGGATGTGGAATCTCTGTATTCTACAAACTAATGTCCCCGCACACTCACAGCGCCATCTAATGGTCGGAGGTCAAATCTCAGATTCAAACATTCTGAATACTCATAGGAACTTGAGTCAGGGATAGACAATATTTTTCCACAAACATGTTCACAAAAAGGTTTGTGAGAAAGACATGCCTGGTTTTACTGTTGTGTGCCTTGACGTTGATTATTATATTAATGAAAACATTTTTTTTGTAAATGGCTGAATCACAAAATGGAAGCATCTCATAAATGACAGGGTCAAAATTCACCCCAAAATCAGAAAAAAAAAGGAATTATATTTTACTGGTCTATTTTTAATAACATTTTTAGATTATTTGCAATGTGACATTTTTTATTAATTATTTTAACTGAATTATTTTATAATATTAATTGTATTTTTAAAGTATTCATATATTAATACATCATAGTATTTGTTGTTCCATCTTAAATACCTGTAATTTTACCTGTAATGAAAATCAGCATAGCAATTATTAGTAAAACAATTAATAAATAGAATTTAAGGTGTGAAATGAGCTTAACAGTCAAGAAAAATAATGCCAATGTCAAAACAGTCCTAAACAGGATTCATTTTATAAATGTAGAATTCTACAAATGTAATCATTTCTTATTTTTATATTATATTTAATTGTATGTTTTGGGGTAAATGTGGTCTGTTTTCATTAGATTCACTTAAATACATATTTCTAAAAATTATCTAATGGACAACAAACATAATTAGGCAAAAAATACAACCCAGTACTGTATGTCCAGCCATCACAATCTCGTTTTTCATCAAATATGTCATCTACCCTGACTAGTCCTTTGCTAGTTTGTCAGTCGCTTGGTGTGTGAGTGTGTTTCTCATTGTATATCAACATGGGAAAAAAAAAAAAAGTCTTTTTATCAGGATGACTCCCCATTCACTTTTAGACTACCAGTGCCCTTTATAAAATGTCACATGGCCGCTGAAAGCCCTTCTCTGTGGTACACAAGTGTGTGTCAGTGGGCAGCAAAAATGTGGACACAGAAAGGTGACAGTGTTGAAATCCAGCCTTTGTTTATCCGTCAACAACTAAAAGATTCTCAGATTCTCTTCGGCTGTCAAAGAACGTCCTCACCTCCCCTCCTCGGCCGAGCGGGTCTCGGACTTGAGTTTCACGAACTCTTTGGCCACCTCGTCACCCGAGCGCTGGGAGAGGATGCGCATGACGGTGAGGCCCGTGTCATCGATGTGTACCCGTGGACCCAGCGGACACCAGCATGCGCAGCTGGCTCTCGGTGCGACATCACGCAACTGTATGACGGCGATACCAACCACGCGGTCCGCACGGCCGAAGCAGTAGTCCTTCACACACACCTGCAGCTCATAACACTCCGGCCCATCCTCGTTCCCAAGAATACTGCACAGACAGAGAGGGGGAATTCATTATTTACTTGTACTGATTACAACCCATCTATCCATATATCCATCTATACACCCTTCAGTCTGTCCATCCATCTATCCATCCACTAGGGGTGTACCGGTACATGCATTCGTACCGAACCGTCACAGTACGGACGTCACAGCTCAGTGCATACAGTCAGACACCGAATACAGTGAGTCACAGGCGATTCACACTCCAATCCAGAAGGGGGCGTGCGCGGTAATGCAATGCTGTTTGCTAACAGTCACAACAGGAAAAAGGGCAGAGGAAGAACAGCGCATGTACGAATGACTTGAGCACTTGAAAACAAAGTCCATTAGATTGTGTGCATGTGCCGAATAAGTCTTTCCACGCTCATGGACAGAGGAGTATACTTTGAAAGGCTCGCGCACTCAACTGTGCGTGAAACGGAGCGGAACGCGTTGGGCTTAAGCTTTGAATGTTTAAATATAATTTAAGTGGAACAAATTGTAACACTCCTAAGTTATATTTTTCATTATTCTATTTATTTTGTACTTTTATAACATAACATGCTTTTCAGTTTTGAAGCTGATTGTGGCCAAATACCTTTTGTTTTTATCAGCCCTGCAACAAAATATGACCCATGCAAGAGTGCATTCTGTTAACTGCTTGGTACAGTACAGCCTCCTTTAGTGTATACCTCAGCGGGACTAAAGGGCGCTAGGTGGAACACACGGTCATTTGCACTACTGTCTGTTCAAAATAAATGAAAAGAAACCTAGCATTGTGGATTTGTTGCTTTTTCCAATAACACTTTAGTTTAGGGTCCAAATCTATTAACTATTCTTCATTACAATATTCTACATCACTAATCCTACCCAATACCTAAACTTAACAACTACCTTATTAACTATTAATAAGCAGTAATTATGAGTTTATTGAGGCAAAAGTCATAGTTAATAGTGATATTTGGACATGAACTAAATAAAGTGTGACCATTTTTCCTATTGTACCGAACTCGTATCGAAACGTGACCCGAAAACCAAGGTACGTACCAAACCGTGACTACTGTGTACCGTTACACACTATCCACCCATTCATCCATCCATCCATCCATTCATCATTCTATCCACTTCTATCCATCCTTCTATCCATATATCCACCTACAGTATCATCCATCTACACTTCTATCTATCCACCTATCATCCATCCATCCATACATGCATAATTGTGAAAGAGAGAGATGCATCCATTTTGTGGTCTCATTTAATTCCTCACGCATCATTGTTTACTGCACCGTTGTTCATTAATCTAATTTGTCCTGAATGACTAGGTTTTGCACTCACAAATGGAAGGTCTCGTTGAATTTGGGTGCCCAGCTGTTGTTCTTTGATTTGGTGGTGAACCTGCGCTTTTTGTCGCTGAGATGAGGGCCGATCATGGTGACCTCCACAAACGGCCGGAACATCCCAGACGTCTGCCACTTCAGATCGTTTGCAGCCACAACTAGACAGAAAAATGTGATTCCACCATCAAACAATACACTTGTGGAACAGAAAAAAAGCTCACTTAAAACAGATGAAAATGCAGTAAGACATACCTTTAACTGTAACTTTATGCTCTCCTGTGCCCGGGTGAGTAAAGAGGTCGATCTGTATGGATACTTCCCCTACTGGTTTATCAACTCCTGAGCCTAAACACACAGATATATTTACTTCGTTATCTAAATGGGCATAATCCAAAGACTTCTGTTTTTTTATATTGAGAAGTTATAAATACTATAACCTAACCAGAAAGAAAGAAACATTATACCCAAAATGAGGTTTTGTCAGGTTTAGCCCACTTTGGAGTACCAAATTAGGGTTAAGTAGGTAGACACACACACACACAGTGAAACAAAGGCCTCACTTGCACGGTGGAGGAGATTTTAAAGGGGTCATCAGATGCCCATTTTCCACAAGTTAGTATGATTCTTTAGGGTGTTCATGTAAAGTTTGTAATATACTTTGGTTAAAATTCCATGGTTGTGTAAAACAACATCCTTTTTACCTCCTCAAAAACAGCTTTGTTCACAGTGACCTGTTTCGGTGCATGTCTCTTTAAATATGCTAATAGCTGGGTTTCAGTCACGTGATTATAATGACGCGCGGAATTCAGATGGAGGGCAGGGAGTGAAGAGTGCAATGGACGAGATGGAGGAAAGTCCGAACTGTACTAATTTACACGCTATTACAAGAGAAAGATATAAACAAAAAATCAAACATATGTTGGACGTGATCCTTACGTTATGAAGAGGAGCGATTTTTCAACTGAATTGAAAGATTTTCCTGCCATCGAGGCGGTAGATATCAGCAACTACCTCGTCTTACAGACATACTTTGACTTTACAAAGTTCGGAAACGTTACACGTTAACTTACACGTTACACAAACATTGCCACTTAAGTTGTATTAACTCAGCTCTGACGAAGTGATCACTGCACACACGGGCATTTTCCCATTCGACTCCTCCCGACCGCAAACGTAGACCGCAAGCCGTTTTTCCGGAGTTTTTCGGTCAATTTCTTGCATTTTCCCCCCTTATGAACAACAACTTTTGGTACACGATAAAAACTCCTCGTGGTTTGATCGATTTAAGTAACCATAAACGACGCAAAACATAGGCATTTTGAGTTTGTTATAGTGCTTTCTAAATACAGCAAATTACTTCCTGCCCTCCATTTGCATTTCGCGCCATGGCAACGCAGTGGCGTGACGTCATATGAAAACAAGCTATACGGGACAGTCCGTCAGCGGTCGTGGGCGGAGCATGAGCATTATGACATCATAGTGCTCAGAAAATCCAAACTGCCTGATTATTGAGTGTTTAGGCTTTTTGAGGATCAAAAAAAAAAAAAAAAAGGAGTAAATGGATTTTTTTTCATTGTTGTCCACACACTGCAGACAGATTTATATGCAAACACCATATAAAAGTGAAGTTTGCATCCGATGAGCCCTTTAAGAAAAATGTAAGCATTAGAAAAACAGAGAGGAAAGATGTACCAACTGTACCCAATTTACATAAAAAGACGAAAGTGATGACAATGGCAACGCAGAGCAGGAACGCAGAGCCTAAATTACAGTGGGAGTGTCAGGGTTCTGCCCTAGCAGCTTTGTCTGTGTTGTCTTTGTTCATGTCTGTTTGTGTTGAGCTTGAACATATGGCTCTGTCTTTGTTTGCGTTGGCCATGTGCTCCTCTGTTCCTGCCTCCTTGTTCCCCAGTACCATGCCCTCTTGTCTAGTTGAGTCTTCATTTGTCTGAGTGTGCTCACCTGTTCCTTGTTTGAGTGTGCTCACCTGTTCCTTGTCTGAGTGTGTTTACCTGTTCCTTGTCTGAGTGTGTTCACCTGTTCCTTGTCTGAGTGTGTTTACCTGTTCCTTGTCTGAGTGTGTTCACCTGTTCCTTGTCTGAGTGTGTTCACCTGTTCCTTGTCTGAGTGTGTTCACCTGTTCCTTGTCTGAGTGTGTTCACCTGTTCCTTGTCTGAGTGTGTTCACCTGTTCCTTGTCTGAGTGTGTTCACCTGTTCCTTGTCTGAGTGTGCTCACCTGTTCCTTGTCTGAGTGTGTTCACCTGTTCCTTGTCTGAGTGTGTTCACCTGTTCCTTGTCTGAGTGTGTTCACCTGTTCCTTGTCTGAGTGTGTTCACCTGTTCCTTGTCTGAGTGTGTTCACCTGTTCCTTGTCTGAGTGGGCTCACCTGTTCCTTGTCTGAGTGTGTTCACCTGTTCCTTGTCTGAGTGTGTTCACCTGTTCCTTGTCTGAGTGGGCTCACCTGTTCCTTGTCTGAGTGTGTTCACCTGTTCCTTGTCTGAGTGTGCTCACCTGTTCCTTGTCTGAGTGGGCTCACCTGTTCCTTGCCGAGTGTGTTCACCTGTTCCTTATCTGAGTGGGCTCACCTGTTCCTTGTCTGAGTGTGTTCACCTGTTCCTTGTCTGAGTGTGTTCACCTGTTCCTTGTCTCAGTGTGCTCACCTGTTCCTTGTCTGAGTGTGCTCACCTGTTCCTTGTCTGAGTGTGTTCACCTGTTCCTTGTCTGAGTGTGTTCACCTGTTCCTTGTCTGAGTGTGTTCACCTGTTCCTTGTCTGAGTGTGTTCACCTGTTCCTTGTCTGAGTGTGTTCACCTGTTCCTTGTCTGAGTGTGTTCACCTGTTCCTTGTCTGAGTGTGTTCACCTGTTCCTTGTCTGAGTGTGTTCACCTGTTCCTTGTCTGAGTGTGTTCACCTGTTCCTTGTCTGAGTGTGTTCACCTGTTCCTTGTCTGAGTGTGTTCACCTGTTCCTTGTCTCAGTGTGCTCACCTGTTCCTTGTCTGAGTGTGCTCACCTGTTCCTTGTCTGAGTGTGTTCACCTGTTCCTTGTCTGAGTGTGCTCACCTGTTCCTTGTCTGAGTGGGCTCACCTGTTCCTTGTCTGAGTGGGCTCACCTGTTCCTTGTCTGAGTGTGTTCACCTGTTCCTTGTCTGAGTGTGTTCACCTGTTCCTTGTCTGAGTGTGTTCACCTGTTCCTTGTCTGAGTGGGCTCACCTGTTCCTTGTCTGAGTGTGTTCACCTGTTCCTTGTCTGAGTGGGCTCACCTGTTCCTTGTCTGAGTGTGTTCACCTGTTCCTTGTCTGAGTGTGTTCACCTGTTCCTTGTCTGAGTGTGTTCACCTGTTCCTTGTCTGAGTGTGTTCACCTGTTCCTTGCCGAGTGTGTTCACCTGTTCCTTGTCTGAGTGTGTTCACCTGTTCCTTGTCTGAGTGGGCTCACCTGTTCCTTGTCTGAGTGTGTTCACTTGTTCCTTGTCTGAGTGTGTTCACTTGTTCCTTGTCTGAGTGTGTTCACCTGTTCCTTGTCTCAGTGTGCTCACCTGTTCCTTGTCTGAGTGTGTTCACCTATTCCTTGTCTGAGTGTGTTCACCTGTTCCTTGTCTGAGTGTGTTCACCTGTTCCTTGTCTGAGTGTGTTCACCTGTTCCTTGTCTGAGTGTGTTCACCTGTTCCTTGTCTGAGTGTGTTCACCTGTTCCTTGTCTGAGTGTGTTCACCTGTTCCTTGTCTGAGTGTGTTCACCTGTTCCTTGTCTCAGTGTGCTCACCTGTTCCTTGTCTGAGTGTGTTCACCTATTCCTTGTCTGAGTGTGTTCACCTGTTCCTTGTCTGAGTGTGTTCACCTGTTCCTTGTCTGAGTGTGTTCACCTGTTCCTTGTCTGAGTGTGTTCACCTGTTCCTTGTCTGAGTGTGCTCACCTGTTCCTTGTCTGAGTGTGTTCACCTATTCCTTGTCTGAGTGTGTTCACCTGTTCCTTGTCTGAGTGTGTTCACCTGGTCCTTGTCTGAGTGTGTTCACCTGTTCCTTGTCTGAGTGTGTTCACCTGTTCCTTGTCTGAGTGTGTTCACCTGTTCCTTGTCTGAGTGTGTTCACCTGTTCCTTGTCTGAGTGTGTACACCTGTTCCTTGTCTGAGTGTGCTCACCTGTTCCTTGCCGAGTGTGTTCACCTGTTCCTTGTCTGAGTGTGTTCACCTGTTCCTTATCTGAGTGTGTTCACCTGTTCCTTGTCTGAGTGTGTTCACCTGTTCCTTGTCTGAGTGTGCTCACCTGTTCCTTGTCTGAGTGTGTTCACCTATTCCTTGTCTGAGTGTGTTCACCTGTTCCTTGTCTGAGTGTGTTCACCTGTTCCTTGTCTGAGTGTGTTCACCTGTTCCTTGTCTGAGTGTGTTCACCTGGTCCTTGTCTGAGTGTGTTCACCTGGTCCTTGTCTGAGTGTGTTCACCTGGTCCTTGTCTGAGTGTGTTCACCTGTTCCTTGTCCGAGTGTGTTCACCTGTTCCTTGTCCGAGTGTGTTCACCTGGTCCTTGTCTGAGTGTGTTCACCTGTTCCTTGTCTGAGTGTGTTCACCTGTTCCTTGTCTGAGTGTGTTCACCTGTTCCTTGTCTGAGTGTGTTCACCTGTTCCTCTTGTTCCCAGCTCCCTTTATACGTGTTCTCTTGCCCTCATGTTTTGCCAGTTCGTTATATACTATGTGCCATTTTGTCCAATCAAATGCTTTCTAGAATATATAGTACCACATTACTTTGATTAAAATCAGGGCTCATAGGTGTGACGTAACTAAAGACCACTATTTACTTCCTGGAAATACATCAACACAGAGAAAAACCATAAAGCTATTTCATGGTGTCTTTTATGTTCCTAAAATAAGCTTCATTTTCTTCATGCAAAATAACATTTATATATTTTCAGTTTTGGATGAAATATGACATGGTGATTGTGAGATTCACCCCATTAGAGGGCAAATGAACCCAAAACAAATGTAGGAACGGATCTGGAGAAGGGGGCTGTGAGGGTATTCAGGTCTCAGGGAGTCTGTGGTGACCTACCCCTGGAGGGCTCCATTTTCTCACTAGGTGTTATCCTCATACCCTTCCCATTATGCACTTGGGGCAGAGACACAGACAGAAGCAGCAGTGAAAGAGACAACGATAAAAAGCAAAGCATTAAAAACAAGAACAACAACAGAGAAACATGGACAGTAGCCACATTAAGCAGAGAGAGACAGAAAGCTTGAAGAGATCAAGAAGTTTCTGTACAAAAAGTATTCAAATGAGTCCCGTCCACAGCTCAATACTGACACCTAGGGAAGCATTGCTTAAACTAATCTTTAAGATATCAAAAGATATGAATAGGAAGATATGAGAGAGTGATCAGTGAAGTTATATCATTATATGGAAAAAACAGTGTGAACTTTTATGTTCCACGGAAGTAAGTCAGTCAAACAGGTTTGGAACAACATGAGCAAATGACGACTGAATTGTCATACTATTGCTTTAATATTGATATTATGATGAGGAGATTTATGAAGAGAGTGTGGATGTGTTACTATATGTGTTTACCTTGAGCATGCTGAGAAGTAACAAAGGTCTTGATGAGTGTGTCAGTGGTCTGGGTATAGAGGGACAGTGCATGTCTCAGTGAGGACAGTTCAGGACTCTTTTCCAGAAAGGCCTTCTTCAATCCATTTCCTCCAGCATGGAAGTATTGCTGCAGAGGATAGTAAATAACCAAAGATTAATTTTGAAACAACATGGAACTTTTCAGCTGCTTTAAAGTAAACATCATTTATACCTTTATGGTATCGAGGGCCACGTCCATGACTGCGCACTGCTTGGGCGTCAGGCTTTTTGCGTCACCAGACATGTGATCCTGCAGAGGCAAAAACTATTTAAAAAACCCCGCACAATACAAAAAACAACCTCTGACGCAAACCAAACTCTACAACAGTTTCCTTCTTATCACCTCAATGGACAAGAGTATCTGAACGCTGAATAGATGTCATTGACTGTAAATAGAGGCGGTAATGTTTTAATGTTTTTGGATTTCGGACTTCGGACATCAGAAACCTATGGAAACCCGTTTCTGCCTCAGAGTAAAAAATAATAATAATTGTGAGAGTTTTTTTTTTTTTTAAAGAAAGGAAAATACAGTTGGAATTTTGAGAAATAAAGTTGCAACTGTGAGTTGTAAGGTCACATTGTTGCATATAAAGTCACAATTACAAGAAATAAAGTTGCAATTATGAGGAATAAATAGAGTTGCAAATATCAGATGTAAGGTCACGTTGTTCCATATAAAGTCACAATTACAAGAAAAAAGTCACAATTACAAGAATTAACGTTGCGTTGACAAGAAATAAAGAAAGTTGTAAATAAAATTGCAATGTGATATGCAAGGTCACGTTGTTGCATATAGGGCCCTATTTTAATGATCTGAAACGCAACTATCAAGCGCGAAGTGCAAGTAACTTTGTGGGCGGGTCTTGGGCGCTGTTGCTATTTTACCGGTGGGATAAATGACTCTTGTGCCCGACGCAAGTTTAAAAGGGGTTGGTCTGAAATAGCTTCATTATTCATAGGTGTGGTTTGGGCGTAACTTGAAATAAACCAATCAGAGCGTCATCCAACATACCCTTTAAGAGCAGGTGCACATGTTGCATGGCGGATTGTTATTATTATGGCGGATTTACCAGGCGCGCGCCAGGAGCAGTTCACAGCCGAGGAGACCGACGTTCTTGTCAGGGCAGTGAAAGACAGAGAAGTGACGTTGTATGGGGATGGGAGATTTTTTTTTTGCCTGGTTCTTGACGGACAAACTAATTTGTCAGATGTCCTTATATACATATGTGTCTTGCCACTATTGGGCAAACAGGTCTGATCCGTCATTACTACAATTAGCCTGAAAAATTTGGGTAAATGTGTAAGCTAGATTTAGGCCTACATTTTTTTACATCTTCATGGACACCACAATGATTTCCCTCATGTGTTAATATTTTTCCTTGTTATAATGTATGATTTGCAAAAATAAAAACTGCTGCATCTGTGTTGATGAGAGAATCAAAGTGTATGCGCGTTGTGCACCCGCTACATTATGGCCAAGCATGCGCACTTAAAATAGCATTATGAACAACGTGCAACGCGCCACTGACTTTAGACTAGGTTTTTTCTGGTCAGTGGCGGAATTGTTTCCTGGAACTGCAAAATAGCACTAGGGAATGTTTGCGCCGAAACACGCCTCCTTTTTGCGCCGACCCGCCCAGGGAGCGCAAGTTCATTCCCTAGTTTACCGACGTGCGTCTGTGGAGGGAAAAGCCCGTTTTGCGCGGGTGCAAAATAGGAATGATAGTCATTTGCACCGGGTGCAAGAAAGGGCCCATAAAGTCACAGTTACAAGGAAAAAAACACAATTACAAGAAATAAAGTTGCAATGACTAGAAATGAAGTTGCAATTACAAGAAGATTTGCCATAATGTAAGGTCATAATGTGGTCATTTAAATGACCACAAATACAAATACATTTAAAAATGAGAAGAACAAAAATGAACTGCGAGTGCATAGCATTTAAGCATATTAAAAATGTTAACAAGATTTTGGTCAAATGCATTAAATGACAGAAAACTGAGCACTCGCAGAGTTACAACTTGGTAACCTTGTAAGTTGATGAAAACGTGATGCAATGCATTTATTGTGGTAAAATACTAATAATATAATGACACATGCAAGTGTCTGACCACAAATGAAGCCGCAATACTAACTTTGACAACATGGTGTTTAATTATTTGTAAATAGTATATGAATAGTAGCGGTCCTACACTAACCTGCATATTTCACTGGTTTAAAAACACACACCATGCTGGATATTACCTGCCATTCATTTTCACTTAAATGTAATGCTTAAACGGTAAGTGACATTTCCTTGGAAAAACTCCTGAGATCCAAAAGCTAATGTCAGCGACTTACCTATGATGACTTGACAACTGAGCGCGGGTATTTCACTCACGTTGGATGTCACACTGTAACATTTGCATAGGCCGTACTATTTGAATTCATGATTGGTTGACTGCCAAATTAAAATATTAAACAGAACGCTATGATAACATCATTAACCGGTTAATAGTCATTTTAAATAAGCGTTTCTGTTCAGAAGGATTAAACCTGATTTCGTTTTTGTTTTTTCTTATGTTCCTGTTAAAAGTTTGTTTGTTTTCGAGCCCTGACCAGGATACAGAAACATGTAGATGGAATTTAAATTGAAACTCTTCATCTATATTCTCTTGCTCCACTGGTTTAAAGAGATCATAGTCCGGATTAAACAAGCCTAGAGCGGTACCTTGAGTTTGGAGAGCTGACCCAGTTCTTTAGCCGCTGAAAATATCATTCCCTGCCAGAAAGAGATAAAAGTGTTACAGCATTGTGTTTGGGGAAATCTTTACATGTAAAACAGGGATTTTGCATGGTAATATTTTACTTTTTAAGACGATGCATTTCTTACAGGAAGCATTTAAAAGGTTTCAGCCTAAAATAATTGCTTTAGAGCCACTGGCTCTTAAAATTAAGCATTTAGGGTCCATCTAACATTTTTTGGCAAACTAAAAAATCACTTGATTTAGACAGCTTTGTCTGGAAAAAGTGTGAGAATCTCTTATCGCAGGTCTTACAAAGGTGTCATTGCCCTGAGGAAGGATGATGGTCTTCTCAAGACTGTTCATCACGATCCTCCACAGCTCCTTCAGCACTCTCTTCAGCACAGTTTTCTCACACACCGAGGCAAACAGCATCAAACTGCTCACAAATACACACAGATCAGGGCAGGCTTCAGGTACACTAATGCTCGTTTCTGTACAGGTGAGGAGTTTTTCACTCACTTTGCATCCAGGAAGTCCATCAGTGGCCGCAGCATGTTATCAGAGTCGGCCTCCACCTGGTTACGGGTGTTGGCGTTGACGGGACCTTTGATCTGGTACAGCAGACTGGACATCTGACGCATACAGTCATCAATACGGCTCTGGAAACTGCAGAGGAAGATCAGAGTTTAGCATGAAGAAGAAACGTGCTGGACTGCAGTAAGTGCAAAAGTGTGAAACGAATGTCTTTTTTCATTTAAATCAATTAAGGACTTTTTAAATCTTTACTCAACAAGGAGTGAAGATATAAAAATTATATAATGAGAAATAAATATATCCATTTATTTCTAATAATAGTTATTCATTTCTTAAGTATTTATATCATGGTAAGTATTTAAGTATTTATATCATGGTATTTATATCATTGGTAACACTATTTTACAGTGTCCTTGTTACATGTTACATGTACTTACTATTGTAATAACATTAAAATATGTATAGTTACGTGCAACTAACCCTAAACTGAACCCTATTCCTAAATCTATAATTGTTTCTTAATATTTACTCAGTACTTATTTGTATAATTACACTGTAACAAGGACACAAAATAAAGTGTAACCCGTTTTTTTTCCTGTGACACAATAAAAAAAATACTGTATTACAGTAATGAGATATACGAGATCATCAAGCACACTTTTCTACCAATTATAATTAATATAGTGCAATTCTGAAATATTTGAACTATGCAGTATTTATACATTTTGGCGGTATTTCGTGTGCTGCCTTTAATTTATGCTGAATATAAAGGGATAGTTCACTCAAAAATGAAAATTACTCACCCTCATATCCTTCCACACCTGTAAGACTTTCGTTCATTGGTTCTTGCAGAAGCTCAAACGTGCTGCGTAACACGAGAATGAACCTCATTGGTTCTGAATGTTTATATGTGAATAAAAGCCTAAATTCAATCTGTTCATCATATAAAGTGATCGTGTCTCTTCAGAAAATTTGGACTAAACCGCTCAATTCATATGGATTAGTTTTACGATCTCTTTATGAACTTTTTGAAGTGCTAAACTGTCAGTTGTGTAGCTGTCAATGGAGGGACAAAAATCACTCAGATTTCATCGAAAATATCTTCATTTGTGTTACAAAGATGAACGGAAATCTTACAGGTTTGGAACGACATGAGGGCGAGTAATTAATGACAGAATTTTCCTTTTAGGCTGAACATTTTTCTGGGAGTTGCACGATGTCTGTTTTCATGTGATTCACCCATGTGTATATGATATATAAACACTGACGTGTTTCCAAATGTGCTGCTCAGCTCGTCCAGGACGTTGTTCAGCTTGACCTGTAGATCATTCAGGATGTCACTGGCCTCGGTATCCAGCTGCAGACACACACAGACGGCTCAGATTAGTTCAGTGACTCTCCAGGGTCACATCATTTCACCCGGTGCACAAACACCATTCTCATAACCCCAATGCTTCACTGATGGTATGGCAGTTCAGAGGGGGTGAAAAATAACATGGTTCACGGTGATGGGGCAAGAATAGCCTGTGAAAATTCACACAGTCCCAGTGAGAGGAGAGGGGAAATGAAGAAAGACAGAACTGGAGTCCTCTATTGTATATGTGCTCTCAAACACACACAAACACACACGTGTACCGTATGACAGCACAGGCTGCGTAACCCACCTGTTTACTGCTGTACACCACCTTCAGAAAGAGCAAAGTAAAGGAACACGTTTAACTCTCATTCATTTTGAACAATTATGTCATAACCCCATAAATTAACTAGACTAATCAGCTGAATTGAAAAGGAGGGAGGGCAGATGGGTTAAATCATTCTGGTGAACTAGATACTAGAATACTATTAGTATGTAATGTCTATAGCATGTAGTATGTACTGCAGATGCAATACAGTGCTTCAGGGGACAACGTCTTTTTGTAGGCCAAAACCAAGAAATGAGTTCGCAGTTCAGCACTTCCGATTCCATTGTCCTGAAGTCTATGGGTATTTTTGAATGGGTTTTTGGTTAAATGCCTGAAATAAAGTCTGTGGTTAACATAAGCTTTTTATGTTTTATTCTATGACATAAAATACATCAGTAATGATCAGTGATATGTGATTTTGAGGTTTCACTTGTCTTGTAAAAGGCGGTTGCAAACAAGTGTCTAAATGGGACGACAGAGGTTGTCGGGAGCATTACACATCACGCCGAACAGGTAAACTCATCTACTCACTCACTATTCCGCTTTAACACCCACATTGTGTTTATAATTGGACCCTTGCAAACTATTGTAACATACTTTCAGGGTTAGTTGTCGGAACCTTAGGGATGGTGATGTTGAAGTCATGAGATCGTAGTTTAATTCGTTAATTGCCTAGGTTTAGTTTTTACTTCTGGCGATTGTATTTAGACATCAAAATTCATAAAAGGTTTGTTTAATTGTGAAGATCATCATGGTGGACAAAATGTGTAAGAATCATAAACTTTTGTTTTGCCACAGAGCTTATTACCTGCAATGATCCAAAAGCCAATGGAAAAATCCTATGGGTTTTTGTCGAGGGAACCAGGGTGATGCGAACTTCTGGGATTGGCCTAAAAATACGTCATCACTGCAGCGCTCTATACGGCTGAACTCATGTTCGCCCCATATCATGGGCAATCAAAGTCAGGGAAATTTGCATACGATAGTCCTATTAGTCCAAAATGCTGTTGCTCTAGCACAATCAACCAATCCCGAAATCTTCAACACTTGGTCATGCTAATGCACTAACTCTCATTCTTTCAATGAAATTAAAAGTTATTTTACTTGATTTCTGGACCAATAGGAAGGTTGAGACAAAATCTGGATCTATTTAAAAGGATTGCTTAAATGAGCAAGTCTGCGCCTCACCTTCTGCTTCCTGTCAGCTTTCTCAGGCTTTTCATAGATATAAAGAAATGTTGTAAAATTAAGTACCAAGTGCAAATCAAGATTCATTTTTGAATGTGTAATATACAAAAAATAAAAACCATTTATATTCAAATTCAGGGACAAAATCACATTCTAAGAAGCGACTCGAGGGAATCAATACACACCTTGTCCTCTGAGATCTCCATCTATGGGCAAGGTTAAGAAAAAAAATAGTCTTTAATTGTCCACCTCTCATATAGAGATACAGTAAAACAATTACTGTGCCGTTTAGGGAGCAACACTAGGGTGATGGTTAAAAGAGTGAATATAATATATGATATTCCATTAGGCTCAATATGAAAACAGAATAAATAGGCGGGAAAAATAAGTCAAATTATTTAGTCAATGCATTCAATTTAATCAATTGAATGCATCCTCGCTGAATATAAGTGTTAATTGGTTTCGAAAAACAATATTCGTACTGACCCCAAACTTTTGAACACCAGTGTACATTACATAAAAGCTGTTATATAAAGCCTGCTATTATTTATTTGCCTGTTTTCATTTGAAATTTAGTCTGTAAATTCAGATTGAGCGTTTGAGATGATCGTTGGTGGAGGGGATGAAGAGAATGTAATAAATTCCCCTACAAGACAGACACAAATGAAGGTCACAGTGAGCCACTGTTAAAGGCTTCACGGGGGGAGGGGAGGGGCTGAGGCTCGGATGGGAGTTCACACACAGTTCAGACACGGCGACTGCCGGCACTGGGACAGCAGCGTGTCTGTGGGCTGGAACGGGGCGCTTGGGAGATTGCTGGATTAAATGGACAATAACGGATGAAACAACCATGAATCCAGCACGCATGATCCAATAACAAACCTCCTGTAACTCGTCCTCCTCATCCTCACTCTCTTCCAGCTGGGGACAGAAGCCAGATCATACAGTCAGAACTGAAGTACTGAAGCTAACGTGTGACGCCCATACAAATACGAGCTTCTCGTAATGAGCCACCTTCCTAAGCAATGAGCTGTGGAGAAATCTGGCCACCAGATGTCACTGTAAACCTGAGATACATTTGATTTCTGAGATACACTTTTTTTTCTTTTCTTTTTTTCAAAATAAGGAAATGGGTCAAGCTTCCTTCAGAACCACCTTATAAGCTCTGATATCACATGAGAGAAAGAAAGAAAGAAAGAAAGAAAGAAAGAAAGAAAGAAAGAAAGAAAGAAAGAAAGAAAGAAAGAAAGAAAGAAAGAAAGAAAGAAAGAAAGAAAGAAAGAAAGAAAGAAATAGAAAGGGCCGCTGTTTTTCTATTGCTAAGTAAATAAAATACATCTCTAATAGAGCAGAATCATTAAGCAATAAAGAACTGCCAAGAACACAAACATCTTACCATTTTTTTTTTTACCTTACCCCAATCCTAAGGATGTATAGATTTTAAACAAATGCATATACAGAATTATTCAGTTTTTGAAAAAACAAAACAAATGATAGACACTAAATTGCTTTTTTTTTTTTATAAAAAAATAATTTACAAAGAAAAGGATTTCTAAAAAGGATTTAGAAATCCCAGTCAGTTTCAGATTGTTGTGGTTGACTAAGTGTAAATTAGTTTGATGGCTCCCCTTTTCTTTGTAAATTATTTTTTTTATAAAAAAAAAAAAAAATTTACAAAGAAAAGGGGAGCCATCAAACTAATTTACACTTAGTCAACCACAACAATCTGAAACTGACTGGGATTTCTAAATGCTGCCGTACAACGAATCTAACAAACGTATAAAAAGCAAAAAGCAAATAAACAGATCAGCAATGTGGAGCGCTCGATGTCACTGTCTCATGCACAGAAACACAAGCAAGACTTCACTAATCCTTAACTAATCAGCCTGAGACAGGCTCAAACTAATGCCACAACACACACACACACACACATGGGTTTCTGGGATTTATGGGGACTCTCCATAGACATAATGATTTTTATACTGTACTATATTCTGCCCCCTAACCCTAACCCTCCACCAAAGAAAACATTCTGCACTTTTACATTTTCAAAAAACAACATTCTGTATGATTTATAAGCTATTTTACTAATGGGGACCAGAAAAAGAGAAAAAAAAAAGCCACACAAGGTAAAAAATTACTGGTATTACTATCTGTTTGTGGACCTTTGGTCCCCATAAAATAGGATTTACCAGGACCACACACACACACACACGCTAACCTCAATCTCTCATCCACCCCAAATGAATACAACCAAACGAATTCTAAGCCATCTGATCCAATCAGGGTTCAAATCAAGCACGCACTCCATATACAACGCAAGCAACTACTCTACATTCAAAACTACAAATCTTTTCTAATATTAATTCTATGTAAATGTTTTCACTAAAATGGAGTATGGAAAAGTGGCCAGGACTGAAATTATTTATTAATGTCTGGCACAATCTAGCCTACTTGTATCCACCTTGCCATCTTCCACATTTTCCTCAATAACCTGATTAATGACAGACGAAAAAAGTGAAATTCCTTTAGGAACACACATACAGATGTGTGTATTTTGGGATACAACATTTCTGTGTACCCACCTCCTCCTCCTCCACCTCATCCCCAGGGTCCACTATTGAATCCAACTTTATTTTAAAAAAAATATGTTAATAACACGCTTTATGCTATTCATTTCTGAAGTCTGCTATCATGTTCACTATGAGAAACCGTCAGATTGACACATTCACTACAGCTAAAACTAGCACTACTCTACTAATTCTAGAGCGGTCTAGTCATACCCTGGCTTCCTCCGAGGCAATCTGATGAGGAAAGACACAAAAGCTGCTTTAACATCAGCCAGAACTGAAATGAATGCAATACGAGCTAACTATAATGATATTACCAAAGAGAAAAATGAACAGCTGTGAAACACTTTGATATTTATATCATTTCTAAAGGAACCTGCAAGCGAAACGTTACTCCATCAAACCCATCCGGATACACATGGGAAAGATTTCTCTTAATATGCAGAGAGAATACAGGCCCCTGATGTCCTCTGATGTCCCAGACAAATGAGGAGAGGACAAATGCTCCTGTGCTTAGGAAAGGTCACCTTTCTGTGCTGCTCTCCTACCTGTTTGGCACCCATAGATTCAAACATCTTCTCAAGCTGGACACGCAACTGCTGGACATTATTCATCAAGACGCACGGCTGAGGACAAACAGAGAGACACAGACAGATTTATTAGAAGAAAAAAACATGTACTTTAGCCTGTACTCAAAATATGCTTGAAATGCAAGCAAACAGAGGCAGACTAAATATTTTATTATGTGGAAAATTAATAAATACCTTTTTTTTTAACCTAAAATTTTAACTATCAATATAATGTAACTAATATAATATTATATTTTATATATTTTATTCCATATATTTATATTCTATTAGTTGCATTATATTAGTAATTTTAATACTTGTGCATATTTTAGATTTCACATTTATAAGATACATAAATAAATAATATAAAAAAAATTATTTAACCTAAAATATGCATAAGTATTAAAATCACATATAATGTAATATTATATATTTGATTCCATATATTTATATTATATTAGTTACATATATATACACACACAAGCATAAGTTGTATGTATTTATTTACATATTTATTATATATTAAGATATATACATTTATTTAAATCAATATTTATTAAATCAATCAAAAATGGTTTATAATTTAGTGACCATGTGACAATGGATAATCCAAATTATGAATACTTAACACATGAAATAGTAGAGAGAGAGATGTATTAGAAAAGACAGCAAACTAACAGAAATGTCAATGTCAACTACCAAGAGAGCAACTTACAATCTTCTCCTTATCACAATAGGACGGGAAGCTCTTCTTCAAAATGGCACTGTACTGCAGGAGGACTTTGTCAATGGTCTGTGAAGACAAAGGAATAAGAACCGAGCTTAACGTTTTTCAAAAGTCGTAATTTCTTGGTAATAGCATTACCAACCAAACAAATGAAAAAGCATTTCAGGATATCTAGTAGAAGCTCTCTGGGGCCATCTCAGCACTCGGCGCTCTGTGCCTGCTACCATAAAACTGCTGGACATAAGCCCAATAAACCCTCCACATGTCCCATAAACATTCTTGAGGCGACTATGCATTTCTATCAGAGACTTGGTCTGGGGACTGACTGAAGCTTAAAGGGATAGTTCGGCCAAAAATGATATTTAAACGATGCATTACTCACCCTCAAGCCGTTCGAGATGCATATGTCAATCTTGTTTCAGACGAACACATTTTCAGTTATTTTAGAAAATGTCTTAGACCCTTCAGTGGATATAATGTGAAGCAATGGGGTCCACCTCCTTCAAGTCCCAAAATGTGCATATATCCTTCACAGAAGTAATCCATCCGGCTCCAGGGGGATAAACGAAGGCCTTATGAGGGTAATCCGTGCGGTTTTGTCGTAAAAATATACATATTTAAAACTTTATAAATAAAAATATCTGACTTCCGGCAACGATCGACGCGCGTCCACGGGTGATGGAAGTCGGCGTACGAGGTAGGACGTAGCGTCGTGACGTAGAACGAACGCGCCCGCGCAGCCAGAGAGCTATGCAGAGAGCAGAGCAAAACATAACCCGTGAACGCGCGTCGATCGTTGCCGGAAGTCAGATATTTTCATTTATAAAGTTTTAAATATGTATATTTTTACGACAAAACCGCACGGATTACCCTCATAAGGCCTTCGTTTATCCCCCTGGAGCCGGATGGATGACTTCTGTGAAGGATATATGCACATTTTGGGACTTGAAGGATGTGGACCCCATTGCTTCACATTATATCCACTGAAGGGTCTAAGACATTTTCTAAAATAACTGAAAATGTGTTCGTCTGAAACAAGATTGACATATGCATCTCGAACGGCTTGAGGGTGAGTAATGCATGGTTTAAATATAATTTTTGGCCGAACTATCCCTTTAATGGAAAGGCCTGCATTAAGTTTCATTTGATTACAACAGCATCTCATTCTTTCAGACAAATGTTTTTGCTCCATTGATATTCTTCATCTGCTCCGCACCAAGATGCCCTTTGGCTAAAAATGGGCCATTCTCTCAGAAATCGCAGATAATTCTAGAAACGAGATGATGCTCTGACAGTCGACGTTTGTTCTGACATGAATCTATTTGTAATCAGATTAGGAGGGACGCGGGTTCACCTTGGCGAAACGCCGGCTGTAGAGGGCCATGACTTTGGGGTCGGGACACTCCAGTTTCTTGATGATCTCAAAGCTCTGGTTGAGCTGGGTGAAGACGTCCACCACCGAACAGGAGAAGAGAGCATGCTCAGACGTCTGCTGGAACTGGAGAGAAGCACATGATTTAAATGCCATTTCCATTCAGTTTTGTGTCCAAATTGAACACTCGCCAATTGCTAAATGTCAAGGGCAAAGAACGATTACTGGACAATTTGAAAGATGTATCCCTCATTATACAGACACAAGTGTGAGCTGATCCAAGCAGGAAGAAACTCATTTTTGTACAGAAGATCTAAAATTACTCTGAAAAAACTTGCATGTGGTAAAACTTTTGAACTCTTCAACGGTTTTGAAAGGCAAAACGACCGGATTGTGGGCGCAAGAGCACCATAAAGCCCAAGAAACACTTCTGTGATAATTTGTGAAAGATAACAGGCTATTAGAGGGAAATTGCACTGAAAAACATCTTACTCCATCTTTTTTATCTCTCTCCAGGGCTCCATGCATGAACTCCATGGACACATCCTCGTTCTCATCCAGCCACTGCAGCACAAACTGCTGGAACCACCTGGAAAACAAAAGACAGAGCCAGATTTACTAACAGGCCCCTGATGTTAACAAATATCAAAAACGCTTTTGCTTCTGAATGTGTTTGGTAGTTAAGATGACGAAGAGCACACTCACGTGGGGTATTCGGGCACAACTCCCTTGAAGGCTGGTAAATCCTTCACATATTCGTTATACAGCCATTTGACCTTGAAGTGCAGGTTCATGTAGTCTGCGCTCTTACATAGTCGGTGTTTCTCATGTTCTATGGAGCAAGAATATTTGAATGTGAACAACATTTGGTGGCTAAAAAAAAAAAGTTGAAAGAAGTTGGTATCTCTGATATACCAAATCATTGGACAGAACTGTTACTGACCTTCCATGGCGTATTTCATATCCTGAGAGAACTGATTCCACATGACCTCTGCACTCAACTTCCCAACGTTCAGTTCCTGAGGAAACCTGTGGAGAAACAGGAACGGATAGTCACATGATGGCAGGACAATAGAGTAAGATGAGGTGTGTATACATTCAGGTCAGGTTAGTGTGAACACTCACTGGTTTAGGACAGGGGTGTAAGAGTTACGGTCCTCCTCAGTGATGGACACAATGAGGGTGATGAGTTTGGGCCAGAAGTCTAAGTTCTTGATGCTCGGGCCCTGATCTTCTGCAGTGCACTCCTCCTTATGCTGGCAAAAAATAAAAATAAATAAATAAAAGAATCATTTGCATGGTAAAATATATAATTAATTATAATTGTTAATAATAACAATAATTATTATATAAATTCAAATCACCATGTCATTTTATGAACACAACAAAAAAACTACACCCAAACCTTCTGTCGAAACACTGATTGTAAATACATTTTAATTCGTATTTTACATTTTTAAAAATGGAAATGTTTAATACATTTAAAATGTAGTAAATAAAAAAGTCAATTAAAATTTTAAAAGATTTAATTGTATTACATTAAAAGTGATTTTTTTTTATGTTAAAAACAGTGGTGTTATTTTTCACTAAAACTACAAAAAAAGGTTTTCATTAATGAAAATAAAGCTGAAATAAAATAAAACTCACACACACATATATATACATAATATACATTATATATACTTAAAAACTTAAAAGAAAATGAAAAATGTTGCCTTGGAAACAAAATAAGTTGAGTGCTAACATTACAAAAACAAAATCACTTGTATATAAAACAAAAAAAATATATATAAATGACAAGAAAGAAAAAAAGACAAAAGAACAACAAAATATAAGAGCTGATTCAACAAATTAATAAATACTATATTAGTATATAAATAATACTAAAATACTTTATTCCATTCCATTTTCGTTTGTAGTGACTACAAGGTTTGATTTACCCTGAAAAGTGTATAATGTGCATATGTTGTGGCCGTTTTAAAATGGTTTGTTTGAACATCCTGATCAGACCTAAAGCAATGGTGTGAGTCTGGGCGATCTGTTAACGTATTTTTCAACATGGTTTGGTGATGCTAGTGGCAGAGAAATAGCACACTTCAGCTTTAAATCTTGAGAGTATGCATAAATGCTATATGGTAGAGGAGTGACTGTCTAACCGTGTCTCCAATTTGAGGATATTGGCGACTGTACAGCTCTTGACAGTTGTTGAAGATGTAGTCGTACGTGGAGTTGAGGCAGGCTTTGACACAGTCTCGTACAACCTGACTGGCTCTCGGGGGACTTTGCAGTTCCTGTACCTGTCCACAGGAATATGGTAGAGTACATATAACTGAAAAAAATATGGAAAATAGGCTTGAGAATCAAAAACTGGTTCTAATATTCTTCACCTTCATTCTGAAGAAGGTGATGCTGGTCAGGAGGTCCACTGTAGATTTGAGGTCCTGTAAACGTTCCTTACTGCTCGCAGGGAAATTGTTCTGAGAAAGAGAAGAGAAAAACACTGAGAATCACCATCTTATGAGCTAAAAATAGGTTGTAAATGAAAAATGAACAAAACTCACTCGATACATTGAGAGGTCAATGCGCAGGGAATTGTGCAGCTGATCCAAGAGCTTGACAAACCTCTCTTTCTGTTAGAAGAGAAGAATGAAGCAAGGTTTTCAGCCATCCAGGACATTGTCAGGAAATTAGGGGTGCATCAATATGAACATTTTGCCCGTTACCGATAATCGATCATTCTTTATATATTAAAGCCAATACATTTTTTGTTTCAAAAATAAAAGTCATGTCACCATTAAAAGCCATGTCCCAAGCCCTTCAACATAAATAAAGCATACAGTAGCCAAGTTTGAACCAGAGTGTACGTTTAAAAATTTATTTTACACGCTTTATATGTAATTTTATACATCATTTATCGGCTTTAAGATATCAGCCAAATTTTCTTATCAAGCCGATAACAATAACATTAAAATGAACATGTCGGCTGATAGCGACATATCGTCCATCCATACAGAAAATATTTAATTGAGGCATCTTGATATATAACACAGTCTTATGGACAACTATAATGATACTTCACTGCACTTTTGAGTCCTTTTAGGAGATTTATAATATGTATCGACATCCACTTTTTGTTGTCATACAGATGGAACGAGAGCTTGAGTAAATGATGATTTTGAGCCAACTAACCCTATTGGAATTAACAAGCATATTATTCATCTGCAACTTAAGAATAACATTAAACAACTGACACTGTTGTCTTGACACTATAATTTAACACAGGCTCGTTGGGAAAAACTTGCCTCTACCTACATTTCTGCAAAACTATGTAATTACTGTACATACAATTCAATGCAGTTTCCCGCTGACATGAACACTAGAGGCATTAAAACACAAACAACTTATTTTTTTCATAAAAGGGCAGATTATCCATTACCGGTACTGTTATTACCCCAATACACTTTACCATAGTGCACCATTTGTAAACTAATACATTTTGATGTTTGCATCACATAAACAGCTGCATATGTTTGGCTTTTCTGATGTAGTTAACTTGTTGAGACAGCTGAGATGCTCACGTACGACTCCCGTGAAACACGAGTCATGATAAAAGAGCCCAAAGACTTGTAAAAGCAACCTAAAACGGCATGGTTGCTTCAGCAAATGTGTTTTTATCTCACGTTTGCTTCTGTTTACACTATCAGGTATGTTTAGGGTTTTGTGTAGGTGGTATGTTGTTTACAAACGCGATAGAGTATACTGTATATTGCTATAATTACAACTTGCAATTAGCTGAACTGTTCAATCCATAACGGTGATCCTGAATTGTGTGTCCCATGGTACTTTACTTAGCTGGTCTGTCAATACAAGATAAAGAAAGACTGCCACAATAGACACTTCCATTTTCAAAATGGTCTTTCGATTTCGTCTTTCAAATTTCCTGGTTGATGACCTGAACATGTTTAAAGGTCTAGTGCTGACGCATTAAAACTGTGAAATCTTTATCAGAAGTCAGCTCTATCAAGAAAATGCAGTAAAACAAGCAAACGCCAAATAGAAATGGTGATTTTTTTTTGTTGTTGCTTCTGTTCCATAACTGTGTCTACATCCTCCATCATTTAGAAGTATTATTTCGCATTAACACAGATTGGTCAAAAGTTGAACAGTTACTTCAAGCTTTACTTCTCACCTATCCTCTGTGGTAGCTTTGATAAAGCATAAATGACCCGTTTTTGATTATTCAAAAGATGTTCCCTATTAACACCGAGTCAAGATGCCAGTGTTTTTAGTTTGGTGATAGTTAACATAAACATGCACTGTAAAACAAACAAAGGTTATTGCAGTGTTTAACAAGAAAATACCATTTCAGTATTTCTATTTTAAAATTGTTATGTTTAATTTAATGTGTTACTTGCAGTTTATTTGTAATTTTTTTAAGTAAATCCTACACCAAATTCCTCGCAGTGTACTTAATCTGTGCAAAAAGATAATTAATTAAAGCTGCTAGCAGCATTTAGCGGTGTTCAAGCAGTTAAGGCCTTTAAGGCCGTTAAGCACAAAAGCATCAAAAGACATTAAGTTTTATGTAGCAAGCATGATTTACCATGATATACTACATTTCAGTGTGATTTTTCATGATTTACCATGTTCCAGTATGATTTAACATGAATCTAAAGGCCTGTTCACACCGGGACGAATTTCGCGCGCGATATTCGCCGACGTTTAACGCCTCGTGACTAAACAAAGGGCGCCAATGTGAGTGTGCACACCGACGCGTAAAACGCCACACGTAAAAGCGTCAATTTTTAAAAAACGCCTCGGGTTCGTTTTTTTAGTTTGACGCGCCGCGTCAAAAACTATCCGACGAATGAGATTGGCGCTTTTGCTCACGTGTCTGGAGCTTCTGAAGTTACAGTAAAACACAACTTGGGGGCGCTCAAACACAAAACGGTCTTGCCGAGCACACATACGTAACAGTGAAGAAGATATACGCCAAGTAGCGTCTACACTGCCGGGAAGAAATAAGACGAGGAAGATGCAAGGCAAGATGAATGTAGAGCTTCTGGTCTCGTTGGTGTCGGAACATAAAGAACTATATGACAAACGCGACAGCGACTACAAAAATCTTGATAAAAGAGAATGTTATGGAGTGGTATTGCAGAGCAAATGGGCGCCATCTAATGTCAGGGAATGAATTTGCATGTTCACTCGGCTCATCGTCAGCGAAAATCGCTTGGGTGTGAACACAAAAAACGCGTTGAAAAACGCTGCCGAATAACGCGCGCCGATATTCGTCCCGGTGTGTACGAGCCTTCACATGATTTTCCATAGTTTACCTTGATATACCATGTTATATGATGATTTACCATGATATAGCACATTCTAGAATAATTTACCAGGATTCTAGCATGATTTACCTTTTTTACTATGATTTACCATGTTTCTGGGTTATTTACCATGATTTACCACGTTGATAGCAATTATATGAAGCATAAGAACAATTGAAGTGATAAACTCTGACAAAATATGAATGTGTTATAAGAGTAATTGTTATATAAGTGATTTTATAGTGTCTATATACAAAAAAAAGACTATTAATAAGAAGAGTGGCCAGCAGAGGGCAGTAGAAGACCACTTATTGGCTCACTTTCATTTTCAACTACTTTGTTTCTCCAGTATTCTCCACTGAAGCAAACCATTTTTTTCATGTTAACTCCATAATGCATGCTTACACACACACACACACACACACACACACATTTTTGGGATATGTTATTGTAAAAATCAGTTTTAATGGTATATGAGCATTTCACATATTTCTTTGCAATGTAATAATATAAAACTAATTAAAGAAAATGCTTTAAGCATTTGTTTGTTAGCCAATGCTGAAAGCTGATAAAAAAAGATTAAAAATGTCTAATGCTGCTGCTCCATCTAGTGGACAACAGTGCTATTACAGCCTACTTATACAATAGGCCATGTTTTTCATATAATTTAATCTACACACGCTCATTCTGATGTAGATAGAGACATTTGGAACTTCAGGATCCAATGTGACTCAATTGTCACTTCAATAGATGATTTTTGACTAAATGTTATTGTAAATGTTAAAATAGTGAATTTATAAAGTCTAAATATTAATTATAGTTGAGTAGTGTGACAAAATGACTTTTTTTAAACAGCAGGGGGCAGTAAAATACCACTTATTGGCTGTTAGCCTTTTTCAAGCTGTTATAGCTGTTCTTGACCTTTTTTTAAGAAGCTATGAGCATTTATTGAAAAGATATTGGCTTTCGCTCAAGGCTACATATTGAAGTGACCCTATTATAGTCATCCAAATGAAGAAGTTATACATTTTCCTATAATTATTGTTCTAGAGAGTACAGAGCAATAGATGAATTTTGACAAAATGTGATTGTAAATGTTAAAATAATGATTTAATAAAGTCTAAATATCAATTATATATAAAAATATTAGAGAGTAGTATGATGAAATGACAGCAGGGGGCAGTAAAATACCACTTTTTGGCTGTTATAGCCATCCAAGCTGTTATAGCTGTTATAGCCATCCGATTTACACTCTATTATAGCCATCCAAATGAAGTAATTATACCTTTTCTGATAATTATTGATCTAGAGAGTCCAGATAATTGTACTGCACTGGTTTTAAACATTAAGATATGAAAATTATACGATCATAGATGGAAAAGACCATTTACAGCCAATACAGGCAATTTACCATAGGAAATGTATGGTTTTAAAGCTTTTCAACAGTTATAGCGCCACCTATGGTCCGATCTCCATGAAACTCTGCATGCTTCTTCACCATGTTAGGACACATGTGCTCATCAATTTTTGTGAAGTTCTGAGTTTTTATTTATGATTTATAGGCTTTTGAGTGTATTTTGACACGCCCCCTTTTCTAAATGACCCTGTTACAGTGAACCAAAGGGCAAAGTTCAACTTTTTTTTGATAATTATTGATCTAGAGAGTCCATAGAATTGTCCTAGACTGGTCTGGTTCCGATCAGGGAAAAAACCAGGGACTAGTTCGCAAAAGTAGGTTTTGGACAAAATTGGCCATAACAAATTTTTTTTTGCTCAAATCGAGAATCCGAGATATACATCTTGTCCGTCTTGAGCCAAGGAACACAGTGGTGTGCAAATCTAGATTCTAGGTCAAACGGTCGATGAGTTATGGGCAATTTAGTACTTTTGGTTGCTGTAGCGCCACCTATGGGCCAATCAGGGTCATACTCTGATAGGTTCTCCCCAAACTGAGGCCCTAGCACCTGGCCAGGTTTCAAGTCTCTAGGCCTTACGGTTTGGGCTGCACGATGCGTTTTAGGTTTTTTTTTTTTTTCAAATAGCAATTACAATAGGTTTTCAGCACTTCGTGCTTGAACACCTAATAATAGGGGACCTTTTTGACAGTTATAGCGCCACCTATGGTCCGATCTCCATGAAACTCTGCATGCTTCTTCACCATGTTAGGACACATGTGCTCATCAATTTTTGTGAAGTTCTGAGTTTTTATTTATGATTTATAGGCTTTTGAGTGTATTTTGACACGCCCCCTTTTCTAAATGACCCTGTTACAGTGAACCAAAGGGCAAAGTTCAACTTTTTTTTGATAATTATTGATCTAGAGAGTCCATAGAATTGTCCTAGACTGGTCTGGTTCCGATCAGGGAAAAAACCAGGGACTAGTTCGCAAAAGTAGGTTTTGGACAAAATTGGCCATAACAAATTTTTTTTTGCTCAAATCGAGAATCCGAGATATACATCTTGTCCGTCTTGAGCCAAGGAACACAGTGGTGTGCAAATCTAGATTCTAGGTCAAACGGTCGATGAGTTATGGGCAATTTAGTACTTTTGGTTGCTGTAGCGCCACCTATGGGCCAATCAGGGTCATACTCTGATAGGTTCTCCCCAAACTGAGGCCCTAGCACCTGGCCAGGTTTCAAGTCTCTAGGCCTTACGGTTTGGGCTGCACGATGCGTTTTAGGTTTTTTTTTTTTTTCAAATAGCAATTACAATAGGTTTTCAGCACTTCGTGCTTGAACACCTAATAATAGGGGACCTTTTTGACAGTTATAGCGCCACCTATGGTCCGATCTCCATGAAACTCTGCATGCTTCTTCACCATGTTAGGACACATGTGCTCATCAATTTTTGTGAAGTTCTGAGTTTTTATTTATGATTTATAGGCTTTTGAGTGTATTTTGACACGCCCCCTTTTCTAAATGACCCTGTTACAGTGAACCAAAGGGCTAAGTTCAACTTTTTTTTGATAATTATTGATCTAGAGAGTCCATAGAATTGTCCTAGACTGGTCTGGTTCCGATCAGGGAAAAAACCAGGGACTAGTTCGCAAAAGTAGGTTTTGGACAAAATTGGCCATAACAAATTTTTTTTTGCTCAAATCGAGAATATACATCTTGTCCGTCTTGAGCCAAGGAACACAGTGGTGTGCAAATCTAGATTCTAGGTCAAACGGTCGATGAGTTATGGGCAATTTAGTACTTTTGGTTGCTGTAGCGCCACCTATGGGCCAATCAGGGTCATACTCTGATAGGTTCTCCCCAAACTGAGGCCCTAGCACCTGGCCAGGTTTCAAGTCTCTAGGCCTTACGGTTTGGGCTGCACGATGCGTTTTAGGTTTTTTTTTTTTTTTCAAATAGCAATTACAATAGGTTTTCAGCACTTCGTGCTTGAACACCTAATTACTTTGCATCTGAAGAATTTAAATAAATACATAAATAAACAAACCAACGCTAGAGATGCTTTTGTCAAATCTTGTGTGTTTTTGTGACAGACTTGGACTTGGTGTGAACAGACCTTCAGAATGGACAATATGTATGTGTTCTTTACAGTTCGCATATTGTTTGAGAGTTGAACGTACCCCAAAGTTGGATGCGGAAAATCTGTCGCTGGCGGAGACATTGGTGGATGCAGTGGTGTGGGCGTAGTAGGCGTTGATGTTGGCCAGCAGGGTGCTCATCACAGCAGGGACACCAGGACACATATACTTAGACGAGAGACATGCAAAGTGCCTGTACACACACAGACAGGAGAGAGGCAGAGGGTAAGTGAGCTTTGTGCAAAGAATGACAATCACACTACTACAAAACCAAATGCTTATAGGATTCCATGATGGTTAGGCTGCCTAAACAGAGCTAAACAGTCAACTGGGTGAAATGAATTCATCAAGATGAAATGTTGAACTGAGACAACCTCCACACTTTTGGCTCTCACTCACTCACAATGGCTCTCCAAAAAGGTCTGTCTGAGAGACCCCTAGTTAAATCACTGCTGATTGGCTGGGTAGAAGGATCTGCCATTGCTCCAACTGACCTTGTGGCCCATTCGGCGTGAAATATGGCCGTTTGGTTGCGCTTTATTTGAGGGATGTGCTCAGTTAATGAGCATCTCCTCACACTCCTGACGCCTGATCGACACTGACTCATACTCAAGCCATTAACAACCACAGACACGAACAGCACTCAGGAGTTCATTTCATTACTACCCTTGCTAGCCAAGATCCAGCTACTGCCACAAAGATGACGAATATATGTATTTATCCTTCACTGATTATCAAAGTTATTATACTTGAGCCGTAGTTCTCAAATGCAAAAAATTTCACACAACTGGCATCTTAACTAGTTGTGAATCATTGCTTCTGTGCGATTATCAGGTAAACTGGTGACGTGCGCAAGAGCTAACAACCTCATGACGGTCTCTAAAGTACAGGGAATGAAAACTTAGAAGATCCAAAAAGGTTATGAAGGCGTCATAAAACGAATTCATGAATTTTAGAGATGCAATAGCTTTATATGATGAACAGATTGAATTTAGGCTTTATTCACATATAAACACGCATACATAGAGCACATCACATACTATAAACACGGAGGCTTACGCTAAAACAAACATCAATGGTTCTCGAACATCATATTTGAGCTTATGCGTGTACCATATGTGATGAGCTCTATGTAGTATATGTGCCGATCACAGTTTAGATATGAAATATCTATAAATAAATGCCTGACTTGGATCTGTTTATCATATAAAGTGATCGTATCTCTTCACAAAACTTGGATTAAACCTCTTACTTCATATGGATTCATTTTACGATACCTTTAAGTACCTTTTCGGATCTTCTACGTTTTGGTTACCTAGACTTTTATTCAGTGTTTCAAAGAGTAACCAAAGTCATACAGGTTTAGAACTGTGAGTAAATGACAGAATTTTCATAAAAATATTTTTATAAAAAATAAATTAAATATTAGCATGAATATAGCAAATAAAAATAGGTGGATGAGAGGAAAGAAATATGACGACAATAGAAGACAGTATGGACGGACTAATACATACGTCATGGCTTGGTAGATGGATTCAATCCCATAGCGCATTGCAAATTCATCCACTATCTCTTCTGGCACATCGTCAAAGTAAACCTTCCAGGCGTCATCGCCACGGGCTTCTGGGATCTTCACCACACCCTGACCGAGGACATCTGTGATGTGATGAAAGAGGTTCTACGAGAAAGAATAGAGATGAAAATATTGTTGAGTAGATCATCAGCCGTGACTGATAATGACATATTTGTGCATGTAAATGCATGAGGCAGATGGTGTGGTGTTTGTGAGCTGGTGGTGTTGCTCTACCTCATGCAGACAGGTGTACTGGACGTGGTAGGGGGCCACTTTCTCTTCTCCCTTAATTTCCACGCTGATCTGAAGACGGATGGCACCAGAAACAGCAGACTTGTCCGTTCTTTTCTCTGTGGTGTGAGATATGGATCAATAATAACTGTACGTGCATAAGTGCAACAGGGTTAGATAGGACCTGAATATATTTGTACGTGCAAAAATACCTTGCCAAATGATTATTTTTATTAGTGGTGATTGCTAAGGCATTTTAATTGAAATTTTAGTTTTCAATAGTACAGGAACAATACAATAATACACAGGTTGATCTTCATGACAACGCCTCTGATGTTTACATTACATATTTGATCACTTTTGTCAGCATTGGAAAAGGATGTATTGTAGAAGTTCTAGAAGCAAATGTCATGAAAATCACTTGGTTTCAGTCATTAAAACAACTACTACTAGTTTCACTAATAATAAATATAAAATAAAGCAACAAGTAACAAGTCACAAGAAGCTGTGTGTTACAAAGATGTTACCATGTTCTTGAGCTTGGTTTTATAAAACTGGACCAACACAATTCTTTAAATAAAAACATAATTTTAAATTCAAATGTTTAATGTATATTGATCTAATAAACATTGCTTATGCCAAATACGCCTAACTGTAATATCCAAAATGTAAGATTACCAAGCCAGTGTGTTATATTAGTAGAATGTATACACCATTATAGTATCTATTAAATATTTTAGTAAATATTTTTCAATCTAATTTTTTTAAGTATTTTGTTATATGACGTGTCATTTTATTTAATATTTCAGCTAATGTTATTCACTGATTTAATAAATATTTTTACAGATTTAATTTTAATATTTATTATTTTCATGTGAATACGGTGTGCGTCTTGTCTCTCTCCAAACAGAAAAATCATTTGAAGGTCTTTTAATAGAGACACCGGGTTCTTCTTTGCCTAACCATTTCCCTTGACAGGCAAATTATTGGGATAATTTATATGTGTCGGCTAAGTGGAGAATTTCCAACTGGAGTGTGCTACATAATAATCAAGGAGGATATCTGTTCCGAAGGAGGGAATGGAGGGAGAGAGAGAGAGAGAGAGAGAGAGAGAGAGAGAGAGAGAGAGAGAGAGAGAGAGAGAGAGAGAGAGAGAGAGAGAGAGAGAGAGAGAGAGAGAGAGAGAGAGAGAGAGAGAGAGAGAGAGAGAGAGAGAGAGAGAGAGAGATGATACGGGTGAGAAACAGACAAGAGGACGTGAAGCTGAATTACTACTATTGAGAATAATTGTTACAGCAGATGTGGTGGCCAAAGATTCAGAGGAAGACGATCAGAACACTAGAACGGACTGTACAAATGAGGACAGCAGAAATGAGAGAATAAACAAAGGGTAGATCTCATCAGAATAATAGAGAGACGTGAAGAGAAATAGAGGAAGAGATGGAAACAGAATTTGGAGCAATGGATTTCACGGTTGGGACGTCCTGAAGGCCTCTGGGCTGCTCACTGGGGTAATTGGGCGAGAAGGGATGTGCTGTCAGGTTGGGAGATGTGGGTAATGGAGTACACACACAAATCTTGGAAAGGGGTCACATCCCACTTAGAGACGGGCAGAGAGGTTGTCAACACACGATGTCATCCATCATCTTGAGGAATTGCCACAATGCAATAAGATGTTGTTTGAGGGTGAGGGTGAGGGTGAGTAAATGACAACAGAATTGACATTTTTGGGTGGACTATTCCTTTAATACCAACAAGACTACAAGTCAATGTGAATGTTTTGTGCTCTGTAAGTGCCTTAGGTTTAATATTTTAGTAACAAAATAACCTTTTTTCTTTTATAGCGCAGTCAAAGCACGACAAAGAGATTTTCCACAAAAGACCAAACACATTAAATAGATGCATCAAGCCACAATGACAGCACAGTGTCATCCGAGGAGACTCTTTACTCTTTCGGCTAGTTTACTCTGACTCAACAAACACCAGCACACACCAACTCTTGTTGAGTCAGCGTCAAGTAAACATTACAATCGTTTCATTCCAACATTCTGAATCAAATTGCGCAGTGTAAGGCAGAAGGGTTTAAGTCAAGTTCCTGCATGTCCTGGAAGCAGCAGAAATCAAACAACCAGCTCAATTTAACCCCTTTCCTTGAAATTTTACATTGCAGAGACATCAGGACAAAATGCAGGCTGGATCTGAACCTGAGCACTAAAGCTCAACATTTAAAAAAAAAAAAAAAGAAAAAAAAGAATCACAGACACAACAACACACAAATCCGCACTAGCTTACCCAGGTTGTACCAGACGTCCATTTCTCCACTCAGCGTGCGCACCTCAATGATGCTTTGGCCCAAGAAATCATCAGATTCCCTCTTCAGACGCTGCTTCACTCGCGACTTTATGTCGTCATCTTCATCCCAAACACGAACTTTGATGCGATCGGAGGAGTTGTGGCATTCACTGGAAGACAACACATATACATCTGTGTTTAAGATCAGAGACTAATAATGCACCAAAATGATTCTTTTTTACCAAAACAGAAATTAAAGTTTTCATTTAGCTGAAAACCAAGACCAAAAATAAAGTTTATTTAATGATCAATTAATCACATTTATGTACTAATCAACACTTGAATAGAAACTGAGTTGTACAGTATATAAACATTTAATTTGCAGTTTTTATATTCATTTTTTTATGATAAATTATCTTTCTACTTCAATTTGTTGTTGAAATATAAACATTTAAACAGGGCTGTAATAAAAACTTGATTTCATGACAGATTTATTCACACATACAATAAATAGTGAAATAGTACAGATTAAGTAAACTATAATGAATAAGTAATATATTTAGAGTTGTCAAACCGATTAATCAAGATTAAACGATTCTAACATAAAAGTTTGTGTTTATATAATGTACTATGCATGTACATAATTAATATACTGTGTGTGTGTGTGTATACACACATATACATAATATATATACATATAATATATATATACACATACACACACACACACATATATTATATAAACAAAAACATTTATTTTAGACGCGATTTGACAGCATTAAATATAATGCATATATTTAGCTAAATGCTCCTCTCTAAAGTTCATTCTTCTAGCTAAATATTGTGTTTATGGTCATTGAATGGCTTCTTCTGAGGTAAACGTAGCGTTACGTGATTTTGTTTACCAGTCGATTTAATTGTTGTCCTTCCACTGTTGAAACACTGAGTGATTACACGAGACATGACACATTTCAGTAAGTAGTACTGTATCTTTTAACATACCTTCTGATGTTCATTCATGTTTCATTTATGCTGTAACTAATAGTAAAGACGGTCAGGTAGTTGCTTGGCTGGACAAAGTGCTGCACTGTTTCTCGGAACTTGCGGAAGGTTTTCTATCTAACAATAGTCGAAAGAATCTGATATTAAAAGTCGTATTTTAAACTTATGGTACAATTGGCCTGAATAATATTTAAAGTAGACCAGTGGCTCAACCAAAGCCTGTTCACTCGGACAAGTTTATTCCATTACTGAAAAGAGACGAGACTGAAAACTGGGTGACACACATTCTGAGTGAGAGAGCCTGTGGCACGACGAGAAACAAAGAATGACACTGAAGACACTTCTATCAAAGAGTTGGTCTCTGATTGGTCGAATTATACTTACAAATGAAACTTCTCCTCCCAGACAGGATTGAGGTTGCCGTAGATTGTCTTGGTCCTCTTTTTGGTTTTACCCACCTGGACGGTCACGTAGGGGTCACTGGAGCCGGTCTTATCTTTAGCCTGCAGCCCTTGAGCACAGACAACTATAACCCAGACAGAGTAGAAGATGGGAAGTCATCGAGGATTAGTCGAGAGTTTGTGTTGTGCACCATTTAGAACTGAACTGAGATTGCTGAATTTTAAATAGCTAAAATGGAATGAGAAATAGTGACAATGACAATGTTAATGATCAATGTTTGAACCTGTGATGGTGATCTTGGCTGACCACTTAGAGGTTCCATCCAGGACACTCTGCTTGATGGTCTTCATCTGCTGAGCGTGGATGGCCTTGCTGACCACAAACACGTCTCGGATGACCTCAAAGATCTCAGGCTTGTTCCTCTCACGGATCTTCATGCGATCCTTCATGGCCATGATGATGTTCTGAGTGCGGTCCTCTGCACCATGTTTGGAGCTCTTTTCAGCCGCACCTGATTGAAAGAAGAAATTATGGTTTTATTTGCACAGATCTGAAGAATGAGTTGCTAAAAAGGAAAGAGATTTAAAAATTTTTCAAAAAATGAATTGTGATTTCTAAAATTATTATAATAAATAAAAAATTATTATTGTGGGTGTAATTCATTAAATAAATGAATTGTTTTCATATTTTATAATGGAATTCTATAATTAAAGCATTTTAAAAAATGTATTGCATGTTCTATTTGCAAAAAGTCTTCCATATTAATACGCACTAAACAACAACCGTAGAATATGACAAGCTCATAAATCCAATAAACACCCTGTCTTATAAAATATATGTGTGATGAAGATTATATTACTGTGAGAATCACCTCTAAATCATTTTCTTAATTTTGGCAAATGGACCTGTCAACATGTCACTGAAGGAAGTCCATTTGGGTAAATGAGTTCAACAGGGCAGATGTTAATAGAATAAAAACAGAGTGTTTTGGTACGACAGAAGTTCAAAGGAGACTTTCGGTAAAAGCACCAGTAACCAAGGCTGTGTCCGAAACCTTGCAAATGTAAAATTCTCAGGCAGAACATGATGGTAGGACGCTATAAAGCAGGTCTTTTGTTTCAGATTTAGTACAGGTGCTCATACTTACGCTGCAGGCAGTCTGCGTTCAGTAGCTCCTGACACTTCTCGTGACACTTGACCCCGCACTCAGTGCAGCGCATACCCTGCCTTGCGATGCCCCAAAGAAGCCCCTCACACTCGTAACAGTAGGTGGGCGTAGTGGCCGTCCACACCTCAAAGTTGTGAGGTGTGGTACAGGAAATGGGATAGATTAAAGCTTGTAGCGTTTTCTTATACACATGGTTCTTCTGTAGAAGTTTGGAAATAAAAGTAGATAAACACGCATTTAGAAAACTAATAAGATGTCTGTGCGTAATATGGTGAGAGAGAGCAAAACAAACTAACCAGTTCTTCATCTTTTATGGAGGAGCGTGAAGCCATCGCAGATGCAATGCCAGCCTTCCTGGCCTGGACCAGAGACTGTCATACAAAGAATAGATATTAGAACAATGCAAAACCACACAGAATCCCACAAAACACCCCAGGTGAAACAGATATCAGAAACCAAGTGGAATCTAGATGTCAAAAATAACATCTAAACCTGAGAGCAACAACCCAGAACTTCAAAACTAAGGGTGAAGACTATGTGAGTCCCAGAAATAAAAAGGTAAACCGATGTCTGTGGAGTAAAGGAATGAGGGGTTAATGAAGAAACCATCACTAGTAAGCCTGGGTATGAAGAGGCATCTACAGTAAAACACCCTTTAAAATAGAATAGAACAACCCGCTATAAAACAGCCCTTTGAAAGTGATGGCCCAAACATGTCAATGCATGTCGGAGGGAAAGTAGGTAAACTAATAAAAGTAAACCAGTAGAAAGGACTTTTTTTTTTTTTGCTTGCTTGTACAGTATATCAAGTAAGGTTGTAATGGTTTGCAAACACATTCATTAAATAAATGTTTTATCATAGTATCATAATCAGTATTGTGATATTACCAGGTGAGTTGAAGTATTTAAAAGACAGACATTTAAAATATTTTGTTTTTGCATGTTTTAACAATTACAGTTGTAACACCCTGAGTCAGAAGTTGACTATTCATCAAATTAATTTTACACTGTCAAATGTATTTGCAAACTATTAGAGAAATACTGATCCTGCGGATGCAGTATTATCTTGATATACACAAAAAAGTAGGTTCAATCATACTGTATGGGTTATTCTGAAAACTTACCATAGCCTGACCATGCAGAGTGAATGCATTCAAAAGAGTTGTAGATGTTTAAATGTTTGTTTTCATGGGGAGGAGAGAGATCAGAGAGTTGATTTTACTTCACTTTATATTTTTCTGAGTCAGAACTTAAAAGTTATAATGGTCGTCAATTATTGCTTATGAAACTGGAAATTTCTCGTAGTCGTCTTTGTCTAGATTGTTTTATTTGGTGACTTAATACTGTCAATTTACTTATTATTATAAGACTGAACAAGTAATACTTTAGCAAAGTTGGATTTGGATTGATGATGTTTCTAATGGGGAACAACACCATGTTGAGAATTATAAAAACACAGGTAGCTTTTCTTTATTTTAATGCAAGGTGGAAAGAGTGCTTACCACATCGCTAACCAGAGGAATAGCTTTCTTCTTCCGCAGGTCTGGCATACTGTCAATTCCAAATATTCCACTCCCATTTCTGTGGATATCAACACATTGTGAAGGAGTATTTTCCACGCTTAATAATTAATACACAGACAATGAACACGTTAATAAAATGCCACTAACTTCTTATAAATAATTCTATATACTCATAAATAATCCCATAACAAAAAATTTACAATACGTACAATACGTTATAGTATCCATAAAACCTAAAGAGAAACTTACCCAGCTTTAACCCAAGCATTTCTGGAAGTATCTCCTTTTTCTTTGCCCTATATCATCAAAAATACAGTTTAGAATAACCAATGTGTACTGGGGCAGTCAATAACAAAGATAAACTAAAAACAATAAAACTTGAGCATAACCTAAGATAAATGCAGAGGACACAGGATTGGTTGAGTTTAACCAAAAGGTCTGAGAGAGCAAACCAAAACAAGACAACGAAAAAAAAAGACTTTAAGTTCCATTGATGGAAATCCTTAAAAATCTGATCCAAATGATTGACATGCAACTCATGAGATCAGAGAAAAAGATGAATGAAAAGCAAAAAAACTAAATCAATTTTTAAAGCACACACACTCTCGTATTGCCAGCAGAACATAATTATATGATGGACAAACACCCTAGTGAAATCCAGACAAACATTTAGCAAACTGTCCCTGTTTCCATCTGAGGTGAACCACTTTTGTATTAGCATGAGCATTCTTCCTCAGATAAATAGATGTACAGCTGGATAGCTGAAGTCCCCCAAGGGCATGTGGTATGTGGTATGGAACTGCTTTTAAAAGCAACAATGCAGCAAGACGAAGACCACCATTTCAAATTATCAATAATTTAAAAAGATGGCAAATCACATTAAAGTAAGCAAAACAAAACAGAAGCAAAACACCACATGTAACCGTTAAAAGACAAAACATTGAGTGTTAAAGTCAGACAGAAGATACAGCAAAATCGAATAGAGGGAAGCCTCATACATTTATCATACACTCCAATAAAGAATGTGCATTCAAATAAACTTTGGATGAAAAACAAAGAAAACCGGCGTTAATGAAAAAAGAAAAGAAATAATGACTAAGAATTGACCAAAGCATAATTATGACCTGATCATCTTCCCTGCTTCCCTCTGTAAGACAGAGCAGGATAATGAAGAAAAAAGAAAAGAACAGTTGATAAACAGTGTTAAAATTAGGGAAGATTCACAGAAAAACAGTAGGAAAATTATATTAATCTTAATTACATTTATAACCAAGCAAAAATAAAAGACAGTTTTTTGAGTTCTGAACCACAAAAAAGTACCTTGTTTAAATTCCTCTTCAGAGAAAGTGTTCTTTGAGGCATTGGCAATCCTGGATAGTCTATGCCGATGTCTCTTCTCTTTGAGCACACGTTCAATATTGGCAAGGCACTTCTGGTGGTGGGGGTCCTCAAGGGCAGGTTCATTGTCAAGACTATGCTCCACCTGTTTTGCATTAACATCTGTCTCCAGTGTTCCTGAATTAGTGCCCTCTGGACTTATTTCAGTATTACCGGTGCCAAATGCCATTTGGTGATCATAACACTCAACAGTTCCTGAACTCAGACCCACATGTTTTGGGCTAAGCTCTGGAATACACTGCAGATTGGAAAGTTTTTGATCTGTTAAAGTTTCCTCTACAGTATCTGAGTGGTCTACTGCATAGTATTCAGTTGGAGTATGTGAAGGGGAAATCGTGCTAGGAGTAGATACTAGAGGATCAAAGGCTTGGGAATTACGCCGTCGGTGTAGTAATTCCAGCAAGTCCTTCCCATGGAAAGAGGCTTCGATGCTCTCATGAGGAGATGCACTGAGATCTAAAGTTGCACCATCAGAGTGTACAACAGTGTCTACATTTGACTCACCAGCACTCTCCTCCTCAGGGTCATTGGATTTGCAGGGACTTGAGACTACAGACTTGGTGTCTTCATCTAGACACTGGGGTTCATGCATGTCAAGCTTTGTCAAGGCTCCCTTTAGAGCAGAGTGGAAGGTTATAATGGCTTTATTTATCTTTACCACATCATATCCTAGATTAGGTGGCTGTGACTCTTCAGTGTCTGTATTTTCAGAGTAATCTGGGTCATATTGATCCTCAGACACACTTGGGCAAACCGCGCCTGGCCACTCTTTCTCCGAATCCATATCACAGAGGCAATGCTCGCAAGAGGAGTGTAGATTTTGGCAACCGTCATCATAGTCTGTCATTCCAACAGTTGAACAACTAAGGCTTCGGGATGGCCCACTACATGATTCATCAGCATATGCATCCATGGTGTGGTATCCAGAACTTCGGGAGTACAGGCAATTTGACGTGCAGTCACAACCAATGTCACCGACTGTCTGATTCTTAGGATGCCTCCAATCTACAACACTGGATGAACTGGATGCAGAGTCATTATGGTTTCCAAACAGTAGGGATAGGTGTTCAGAGCTGCCTCGTGATGAATGACACGGTGTGCTGCTGGTCTCGCCACCATTGTACCTGTGCCATGTATCTGGGTGTCCAACAGTTTCCAATTCGTCTGCACTGTTCTGGCAGGAGCAGTAATCCTCCTCACTCCATCCAGTGTCTCCACTCCATCCTCCTCCACTCACGCTGAACTGCATTTCCGAACGTCTCCAACCACTGTTATGTTGGTCAACCTCCCTAGAATGATAACTTCCATCTTGATCATGACTGTTAGAACTGAGACCCGAGGATAAGGAACTAGTGCTTGTAAACTCTTGCCCATAAACTGGACAATAACTGGACTTCTTAAATCTGGGAGAGGGTGCATTAAAGTTGTCAGAAATCTTAGGATTGTTTAACTTGGCTCTTCTAGGTATATCTCGATAATCAGTTTCCATATCCCATCCTGACATGTTAGGTCTGGCTGCTAGTGATCTAACTTCATTCTTCTCCAATTTTCTATGCTTTACCACTGGGCTATTATTTCTACTTTGTGGGACTGCAGCAGCATTCTGCCCATCTGGACTCATATGATGAGCCACAACTCTTCGAGGTGATGGATGCCCTACAGCACCAACGGAGTACAGCTCCTCAATTTCCAGCAGCACAGCATCTACACAGCAGGACACCTCATCTACGGAGCCACTTACAGATGTCAGGTATTGTCTCAAATCTGATATCTCCTCTTGGATTTTATTGATCCCCTGCAGTTCCTTCAAAATGTGCTCCACTATGGTGCTTGAGCCGCCTCCTCTTGTCTTGTCTCTGTCCTTAATTCGGCTTGGTTTATTATCCATGGCACCTCTTCCATCTACACAGCCACTGTAATCTGCTTGGTCTGTGGGCTCCAATGCAGGACCATTCATTTCCATGATGCATGGGATTGTAATATTGCCATCACTATTACGCCTCCCCTGCCCAATACATTTACTCTTGGAGGTTTTAGTATGACTTTCAAAACTACGCTGAGTCGATAGAATACACTCATGAGTACAGGGGTCTCTCTTTATGCCACAGATGAACATGTCATCCTCTATCTCTACAGGAGAGTGCTTGGAGTCATAGGCAGTGTTTTCCCCTGAGCCCTGGAGGAATTTCTGAATCTTCTTGCGTATGCTCCGATTGACCTTAGGACTCTGGGTCCGCTTCTTCCCAAGGTCTCTTTTCTTAGACATTCTTTGCTGTAGTTCGCTCGACCCATTTGTTTCATCTTGCTCATTGGAATGACTCCGTGATAACATCCCTTAGAATCAACTGTACCTCAGGTGCGGACCAGAACCTTGAAGCTCTGGTGCATGTGATTATAGAGTTGTTGCATTTCACCAACAGTGCACGAGGATGTGCTTTTCAGTCAAGATCATAACTGAGCTTCAGGCACACCTGACATTTGAGGACAATGACATGAATAGATTAATACAATTTAACAGACATATTTTGCAATGTTATTGAGAGTGTAATGAAATTCATCAGTTAAATATTAGCATGCATGTAAAAGAATCAACATGTACTCTTTTTTTCATGGCCATTCAATCTTTTGCACTTCTGCAAAGACACTATTGCTCGGTTCTAAAACCTAATTGTCTACAGATGTACTCACAATGCAAAGACCATTACAAAATGTATGCATCTTAATTTTGCAGCATTCGAACATTGTTTATTTTAGTCTAATTCTAAGGCTTCAGGAGTGTTATTTGTGTGGTACAGTTGGAATGCTGCCCATGTAGGCCATTCCAAATCAGTTGGTTGCTCTTGGAAAAGAGCGTATGACTCCATATTTCGTTATGTACTGTACAGTAAGTAAACAGTTGAGGTGCTGAATGTAGTTTCATAATTTATACTAATGGAGACTTTGATCAAAAGTAATGCTACAGGCAAGGGTCATCCACATCCACCAACTCTCACACTCACCCAAGTAAAAAGTCAGATTACAGATGAAGGGTAAGAGTAAGTAAATCTGAATTCCTGCCATTTAGTAAAGTACCACCACAATGGGCAAAACAGATTTTACAACGGAGCTAAATCCCTTTATACTGTTTACGCAGGACGTACATGGCACATAGCGACTCATCAGCTGATACTGTAACACTGGCCTTAGCTTGCTTATAAACCCAGTCATATCATACTACAGTATGACTTTAATATCGTTAGAATTTATTCAATTGAAAGAAAGCACTGCAATGGTCTTGGTCTCCAGAAAACAGCTCAATAGACCATATAAAGTACAAAGTTTTAAGTGTTTAATCAAATAATGTGATCGTATGCAAATTCTAGTGTAATTAAATTATTTGTCTAAGCATTCTGTTGTAGAAGTCCAGACATTGCCAAACTGGTGGGGCATATTCCACACAGAACACAACATATTATCTTCTTGCCTGTCAGCTCTTCTAACAGTAACTGTTACAGCACAGGGAGGGTGACAGCCCAGCTGTATTCACTGTGCATCATGATTGTTAAGCAGAACCTGCTGGGTCTAATAGCAGCTTTATCCCATTTCCTGCCTGTCAGGACAAAATGTTAGCTAGTCTCGTATACACTAGGCTATTCAGCTTTCGCTTTTTTTTTTATTTAGACACACTCTTTTGCCATATTTAATGGGGGGGCATCATACAAGGCAGTCATTGAAATTCAGAGAGTGTCCTCTGTGTTATTCTCCAAAAGCATTTAATGGCCAACATGATCTTTACTATGACTCCAACAATGAGCGTTTAGGTTGGCAGCTTTCAAGGGCACATTTTGGCTGCTTGCCATGTGTCTGCAATAGGCTAAAATGAATGTCAGGGACAGTATGTTTTATGATGGATTTTTAACTTTACATTTAATACAGTTACAGGAAATGACATACTTTCGAGTTAAGCCGTTTTAACTAAACTAATTAAAATATTACTTAAAGTGTTCAAGTTAAAATTTTACACAATCTATGTGCCCTAGTTTTGCCTTTAACTTTCATGCCACAAGAATACTCTGAATTTCATAAATTACATTTAAATATTCCTATTATAAGTTTAACCTCTGCCCAATATCATCCCCCAAAAATGACATGATAAGAGCACAGCTGACAGAAACTAATAATCAGACACTCTTTGAGGGACCAATGAGGCCATAACTGATATGTGACTAAAAAAGGCCTAGTTAAACTTGCTGGAATTAAATAAGATTGTGAGCTAATTTCTGTGACATTCATTCCGCAGATAGCTCAGGTATCAAAATATTTCATATTCCTGCCTAATTTGCTATTCCAACCAAGAGATAAGATATAGTATATGCAGCAGAATTTCTAATAAGAAACCCTGCAACTCTCTCTGCACTGCACTGTTTAGAGTAAGTAGCTCTCATTACTAGTGCTGTCCCTGATTTACCTAGGCTAAGTTAAGACATGATATAATAATTCAGGACTTAACAATAAGAATGACTAAATCGGTGAAATATTGTGCAAATTCTGCGGACTTCTGGTCATTTAAATAATTTAGCTGACTGACATAGATTAGAATTGGTCAAAACTGCAATAATATATACGAGGCAAAAGATTGGAATAATTATGTGTTTTTTTTTATTAAACAAGTCTCTTCTGCTCACCAAGGCTGCATTCATTTGATCAAAAATACAGTAAAAACAGCAATACTGTGAAATATTACAATTTAAAATATTCACAAATTATTATATGCTGATTTGGTGCTCAAGAAACATTAGCATTTAATGACAAAATTTAAATACAAAAGAAACATCAATGTTGAAAAAAGTTGCTGCTTAATATTTCCGTGAAAACCGTGCTGCACTACTTTTTACAGGTTTGGTCATCAGGCCAGTGCTGCATCGTCACAAAGTTTATCATTTGCACTTTTTTAAGCCTTGCCAATTCAAAAATCCAAGGTTTAAGAAGATGCGAAAGAGCACTCAATTCGTTACTCCCGCGTGGTTTGAGAAGTTTTGCGTGAGCACATATCCAAAGCGCGAGCCCAGAAAGACGGCGCGAAAATACTGAATTGTGTTCTCTTTCACATCATCTTGCAGTTGAACAGACAAATTTACACAACATTATGTCAAAATGCCCATATTGGCGTATATATCCTCGTAAACATAGTCGGTTATGTCTTAAGTGAACTTAACAGTTGAGAAATAAAACGCATATTTAACAGTACATTGGATCCGTGCTTTAGGTCTTAAACTGACACCAGCCTAATATACCGCTGCTGTGTGTTTTTAATGTTAATCAAGCAATTTTAATCAAACAAATGTATTGACTGGATAACTTTTGGAATGGGTTAATCTCCATTTAATTTATACAGTGAAGACTATGGTATTATTTCACATGTGATTACTTTATTTAATTTCTGTATCTGAAAACTACTGTTAGACCAACCTGAAAAACACTGTTTATTTTTACTTGTATATTTGTTCTATTCAGGGACGCGGAAAGTAGGGGTGCTGCACAGGATTGTAAATGCAACACAAATTTGTGTTCATTTAAATTTTTAGCATTTAGCAATACAATTTATTTGTAATAAACTCTTTAAGTGGGCTATTAAAAACGTATTATTTATGTTTTTTAAAAACATATGCGCAGTGTTACGTCATATTGTGACCGCTGCAGTGTGCGTAGAAAGAATTTGTCCACACTACTCCTTAGTGCAAGTCCACCATCTGTGTTGTGTTCATTTCTATTTCCTGTCGCTGTGCAGGCTCTTTTATTGTATATAACAGTGTAAACAGCTCAATAACCCTTTTATTTAAAGGCTTAATTTATGTCCCGTAGAAGGGTCCGTTCAATATGATTGCAAGCAGTATCAATAATGTCAAAAATGTGATGTGCAATCAAGTGAGTTGGCTAGTAGTTTTTGGTGACATAACCTTATTTATTAAGGTTACATTGGCCAGAAACAATGCAAACAATACAGTAAATAGGCCTATTTTTTATATATTTTTTATTTCTTTTTTGAAGTATGTCCAGTGAAGATTTTGGCAGGGCAAGTAAAAATGTGAAATTCATACTTTTACTCCGCAAATAAGTATTGAATTGGTCAAAAGTGACTGTAAAGACATTTATTATGTCTTTACGTTACAAAAAAATATATATATTTCAAATAAATGCTGTTTTGAACTTTTTATTTATCGAAGAATCCTGAAAATGGCCACCAAAATATTAAGCAGCAAAAAATTCAACATTGATAATAGCATTCAACAATAACATTCAAGCACCAATAATAATTCATAATAACTGATACTATTTGATAATAAAACCAGCATATTAGAATGACTCGTGTCACACTAGAGTAGATTTATTGGCTGATGAAATTCAGCTTTGCATCACAGGAATAAATTACATTTAGCATATATTAAAAATACAAAACAGTTATTTTAAAATTGTGTAATGTCGTTCACAATACAATAAATTACCAATATATACATAAATAAATCACTGCCTTACACTTCTGTAATCTGCCTTATTTTCCAAGTGAAATAAGTCACATTAAAGTAGTAAGATGGGTTGTTGAGAGCTTTTCAGATTGACTTTAAGTGCTTTCATTTTTATAGTGCATTAATTTTTTATATATTTTAATTAGGTGTTATAAGTAATAGTATTTCTATTACTCCTGGTGTTTGGTGTCTGCAATCACTTTTTTGAAGGGCATAAACAAGCTGAGAACTTATCAGACCAAACTACACAGATAACAATAAAGCATTCAATTACTATTATAATAAACATTCAACCCTAAGTTTAATACGATGCTACATTTAATATATTCAGGTGAACCTCATGAATAAGTGATCAGGACTTATTTCACCCCAAGATAAAAATTTTTTTTTTAAAAGGTTCTAAAAATAGGCTTTCGGGTAAAATATAACCCCAGCATTTCTTGACAATTTTCATAAAATTCACCCTTACTAATCTTCATCAGCACAAGACCCAAAAAACTACACCGAAAAAAAGTACAAAACTTACCTCACAGGAGAAAAAAAAAATCAAGTTTCACTTTGAGGATTCCAGAACACCCAAACCGCCTGCAAATAAAAAATGCCTCCGGATTTCAAATTGTTGACCTAATCAACACTCCTGCACTGCAAGCATTTATCCATTCGGCTGCTCTGGCAATCCAACACATCTCGAACAAAAAAGCGGACACAACCCTCTCCACAATCTGACATCTGCACAGTTGAGCGGATTCCAGTCTAGGCTAGTGTGACAGTCACAGTGGAGCATCTCTCCCTCAAACAGCCTCCTCACTCGCTCTCCCTCACTCGCTCTCTTTCTCCGTGTCCTCTGGCAATGCATTCCAACACAAAGCTAATCTGGAATTGTCAAAATGCCAGCATTCCATCTCTCCTCTTTTTCCCTCCTCTCTTGTCGCCATTGCCTACTATTAAACATTTGAATGTTACAAGGCACTTTTGTTTT